TGGCATGACTTCTAATTAATGAATACAAGGTAGAAAAACTCCTAAATACTTCGGTGTAAAGAGATATATTGTCTCTGCTCCTTTCTGGTTCTTAATGTTTATTGACTGACTGACTAATACAGGAGAGAAACTTTTTGAATCTAACGAATGTGGGAAACCTTTGCATACCAATTCTGCCCTTAAAGTATAGAGGGAAATTCATCCCAAAGGATGAATTGCATGTTTTGAAATTGGGAAAAGCTTTAGCTGGAAGGGAAATCTTGATTCACTTACTGGGGAGAAGCTATATTCATGTAATGAATTTGGAAAAGGTTTCTCGAAGAGCTCAGGACTTATTTGCCATCAGAGAATTCATTCTGGAAAGAAACACTACAAATGTAGTGAATGTGGGAAAATCTTCAGCTGGAAGGGCAGTCTTGATTCACATAAGAGAATACTGAGGTAAAACCATATTCATGTAATGAATGTGGGCAAGCTTTCAAATGTAAGCAAACTCAATACATATGAGAAAATCTGTATTCAGGAGAAATCCTTGAAATGAACTAAAGAAGGAGGAATCTATATTCAGAAACCGAACTCTAATACACAATAATAAAATTTGGAGAACATCGAAAGACCTTCAGAATGTAAGGAATTTGAGAAATTTTTGCATAGTTTATCATTTGAAAGATAGAATTCAAATAGGGCAGGAACCTTATGAGTAATGAATGTGGTAAAGCCTTCTCCTAGAAAGTGTCAACCATTTACCAAAGGTTTGGTCCAAAGAAACAAACAGAATTAGTTTCCCCCTTAACCAAAGGTTTGTCCAAAGAACAAATAGAATGGGGTTCCCCCTTACCAAAGGTTTGTTCAAGAAACAAATAGTATCAGACTGTATATGTGCTATAATGTGGTTATTTATTCTCCTTAAGCCAGAGAATCATGCATGCATGGAGTCAGAAGATAATTCTGAACTCAGAGGTAAACGAGCTGAGAGACCCTTTATACACTTAGAGCAATCCCAACTCAGGATGCCTGCATCAACCAAAATTATAGTCTCCATATGTGTTAACCTGTCAGCCATTACTAAGTTCAGTCTTAGAAAGACATGCAAAATTAGTCTGAATATGAGTGTTTATTTCTCTCAAAGCTTGCAAAACATGCATATAAAGATACTCACGGGAGCTCATCGTGAGACAATGAACCCAAAGATGGACAGACAAAGAGGATTTTTATATGTTCTGAGCAATTCCCTCTCACCCCTCCCTCCCTTCCTGGCTCAGGATACCTATGGCAGCCAAAATTATGGTCTCCAAATGTTTAACCATGATATGAAAAAGGAATTTCTTAAGTGAATAGATTGTAAATGCATGAGATAAAAGAATGTCAAAGTGTCAATTGAAATTATAGATCCAGGATATCTGTGTTTCTTTTACCATTAACATGACATAACATAGTATGTGTCCAGAAAATTCTAAGATAAGAAAAGAACCACTATTTAAGGTAGTGTCTGGGTCAAGGTGCCTTAGTGGTCATAAACAGAAGAATGCTCTTGGTCAGCTTCAGCTGTTAACACAGGAAGGGGCGTTCTTAGTTCACTCGGAGAGCAGAGCAATGCTTGTCCAGTACACAAAGCATTATGGTAGATTAAGCCCAGAGTGAGCTGAAATGTCTCTCCTGATTGGCCAGTCCAGGTTTTAGGCCTTTCTCAGGTGTTGGGGTTCAAAAATGGTTTGGAGAGGAATCTACAAACCATAATATGAGAAAGGAATTTCTTAACAGGATAGATGCATAAATACAATAAAGTAAGAGAAGCGTCAAAGTGCTGTTATAAAAGCCCCAGACTCAATTCAGAACTCAGCCCCAGACTGGACTCAGTGAATTCTCCAAACAAGAGTTAGCTGGGGCAGGCTGAGGCAGCCGGGATGCCCCTGCCCTGCTGAGGCTCCCCCACTGCGAGGAGCCTTTCGGTCTCCCCAGTGATGTTCCCCAGGCAGCAGGAGAAAGCGACTCATTCTAGCCCTGGGGTAAAGGCCTAGCTTATCCAGCTTCCTTCCTTCCTCTTCCTCCTCCCCCTCCTCTTTCATCCCCTCCCCCGCCCCCCATCCTCCCTCCCACCCCTCCAGCAGCGAGGGCAGAAGAACAACAACAACCACCACCACCGTGGCCCGATGCCCATCAGCAGCTCCCCCCCAGCATTCCCTGGCTCTGCCAGCCCTGGTGCCCGGGCTGCCGGGGATGGAGGCCCGCGCGCTGCTACGCAAGATCAAGAACTCCATCGGCAAAACTGTACAATCTAAAGTGGACTGCATTTTGTTCTACTCTCTTATCTCTCCTTCTACAAATTTATAATATTAATGTCATTGGCTTTGTGATGCAAATGCCGATTAAGAGATGAGAAATACCAAGACCTTTAGCATCTAACAAGTACCCAGCAAGACATGACCTAGCGGCTAGAATTTTACATCAGAAACTATCTTCTGGACTAACAGATAACATGCCTGTACTACAAATAATGGACTTTGAAATATCCTAGAGAACTCAGCCCACAAAGTCTACTGGAACCAGACCATTATCACGGACCAAATTTTTGCCCACGATGACCCAGCGATAATGTTAATTCATAAAAATTTAAAACAACATTTTTTATAGCTGTCACCATCCAAAACTCTCATAATCTCCAAGCTCCGTGAATGAAAAGCTTTCAAAGTAAAGAGGGCAAACTGAGGAGATCAAAATCATATGAGACTAGGATGAGATACACATTATCTTGACTGTCCTGTCTGCTCTTGAAGCTATACAAAGGATGTGTTCAGCGTGGTTATGGAGAATGAGCCTTCATTCTAATACTTTTTATTTAACTACAAAAAGCAATTATTTTATCTACCTCTGCAGTAGTTCATAGGAGGAGGATGACTAGCCCCAGACCATTTCTATCTAACTCCTTCCAAAAAGATGAGAACAGTAATATAACAATAATAATAAATACAGACAGAACTGTTGCCCTCAAAAAAAAAAAAGAGTTAGCTGGGTCATAATGAAATCACAGTTGTGGAGTGAGAGAAGAGATACCTTTATTATCGTTCTCGTGAGAACTGGATGTGTTCCCTCATTGGAATCACACACCTATACAGGAGCAGAGCAAGTGGTTATATAGGATTATTTGGCTGTAACCCCCAACTTGTCCCAACGTTCCTGCACGTCCCATTTAACATCTGGGTTTGCAGTGCAATATCTATTGTTTCTATAGAGTCTGTGAAAACAAATCTCCCCCTCATCTTGGTTACATATTTACATAAACCAGTAAACCAATAAACCAATAAACCAATCTCCCCCTATCCTGATTTCTTATCAATTCTGTGAGAACCAAACTGTTAGCATTTCTCACAGGTCAATTGAAATTATAGTTCCAGGATGTCTATGTTTCTTCTACCATTAACTTGACATAATAAAACATAAGAAAACATTTTAAAAGTCCCATTATTTAAGATAGTGTCCAGTTCAAGGTACCTTATCCTTGGTAATCATAATCAGAAGAGTGCTCTGATCGGCTTCAACCAGTTTTGTAGTTGCTGATACAGGAAGGGCCATTTTGAGTTCACTAAGAGAGCAAAGCAAAGCATTTCTGTTATGCCAGAGCATGCAAGGCACTATGGTAGGTTAAGCTCAGAGTGGGCCAAAATGTCTTTCTCTTGATTGGCCAATCCAGGTTTTAGACCTTTCTCAGGTGATGGGAGGCTCAAAATAGTTCAAAAAAGAAAACTTTAAAACACACAAGAACTTTCTTACTTGAGAGAACCAAGTTTACTAAAGTGTAATTCATATGGAAAGCTTTCATGTAGTATGGAAACCTTAAGGAATTTTTGATGGTGCTGGAGAGAATCCTATGAATATATCAAAGCCTCATGAGAACTCAAGACATACTGTACCTCAGCTTTCATAAGGAAAGCAAAAACTAAATGGCTTTTATGAGTAAAATGTGTGGGCACACTTTGAAACACAATAAAAACCTTGAGAACTGTAAGAGATTTAATATTGGAAAGAAAAATCCTTTGAATATAATGCATGTAAAAAGAGCCTTCAGGCTGCCTAACCTTCTCTGCACAAAACAATTGTCACTGTGGAGAATTTTTTAAAAAATGTTTTTCAAAAAGCCTTCAGCTAGAAGGAACCTCTTATAGGACAGAAGATAAATCATACCAGTGAAACTGCATAATTGTGCATGATTTTTTTTCTTTATAACTTTTGCAAAATGCTTCCTTTGTCTCCCACTCTTAACATTAACATTACTGAAATTAGGATGTCAGCTAAGTTTAGAAGTTGCCCCATCCTGAGAACTTCTACTTCCCAATGTCACTAATAGCATATCATCTTTATGTTAATTATAAGAACCAGTTCTCTATATTGCCACACTCCCATCAGAGGTCTCCCCACATGCAATAGGCCCTCATACCTGAGACCACTGAGGGTCTTGCATGTATACTAAGATCAAGGTGCCTCCAAGACTGATCACGGATGCAGAAAAGACTGTCTTGACCCATGTTCACCTGCGAGGTACCACTCAAAAAAGAGTGCCAATGAGATCAGGCTTGCTTCCCCTGGACAATTAATGCTCTTAAATTTTCAGTTAACATCTTGGAGGAGGGAATCATTGATAAGGAGGGATGTCAGAAGTGCCCTAATTGTACTGCTGCTGAAGACTTATCCTGTGGCCCTCACACATATCCTGGCACTTGTATTAGCATGGAGAAGGCTGACAGAGGAGCAGAAACTTTACAGGCCCAACCAGGAACAATTGATCTTCCTCCCATTATTTGTTCTCCTTTATTTCTGTAAAGTGGCAGCTAGGTGGTGAAGCGGCTAGAGTGCAGGGGCTAGAGTCAGGAAGATGTATCTTCAAATCTGGCTTCAGATACTTACTGTGTGGCCCTGGGCAAGTCACTTAACCCTGTTAGCCTCAGTTTCCTCATCTGTAAAAGGAGCTGGAGAAGGAAATGGCAAAACCACTCCAATATCTACCAAGAAAACCCAAATGGGGTCACGAAGAGTCAGACATGACTGAAAAATGACTAGACAACAACAGTAACAACGGACTAGAGTTGCAGAATGAGACGCACATTTTTAGAGAGGGCCGATGTGTTGATTCGTTTTGCTTTCATATAATTTTGGTGGAACGGGACTGAGTTAGTGGAGAGTGATAAAAATGCTCACCTCCCAAAAAATCATCAATAAAACATTAAAAAATAAACAGAAGACACAAAACAGAGCAATTTTATTAGTTTGTTATACATGTATTTCATATGCATTTTTTCAAAGCACATTTACATAAAATTCAGTTTCATGTACAACTTTCTTTTTTGTTCTTTGTATATTGAAATGTTTGTTTCTGTAGATGATTGATAGTCCTAATAAAAACAAACAAAAAAGAATTCTACTGTCTGGGAGGATTGCACTCCTTAACTGAAATTACAGAGGAAGGGGATCTCAGTTGTTTTTGTACTCCTTGACGTCATTTTTCATCCAAGATCTGACTTGCTGTATTTCAGATACTTCAATAAATCCCAACACACAAGTTGTGTGTTGATTTTTCTTTTTACCTTTTATTAGCACAGAGGTAATACTGCATATCTTTATTCAGAAGCATTTGCTATTAAATGTTGGGGAATGGGTAGGAGTACATGATTACCTCTTCAAATCTTTAAATTATCCCCCTCAACCTAGGACACAAAGGTCCCAGGAATTTCTTGGAGAATGCAATCAAAACGACAAAATCCTCCTCGACTGATAAAGGTTACTTTTTCTGATCTTTCTCTTCAGTGGAAAACTGATAGGATCCATTATACAGTTATAACACTTAGAATCCTGAAGCTGGATGAGGGAATGTGCAATAGTAGAGACACAACCTCCAGAAAAAAGTTTTTTTTTTCTTTAATAATATTCAGTGTATCTCAACAAGCATCTGGTAAGTCGATGTTAGATGTGAGTAGCTCTTCCCCTTTAAAGCATGGCCTTTCACTGGGCACCATCATAACAAAGGAATATAGCTGAAAATGGAGTAAAGAATGGTGAAGAGGTGGCCAAAGTCAATTCAAGCCATTTTGAAGATGCTGACAATTTGGCTGTGCAGCCAATAGAAAAAGGTTCCTCCCAACTGGAACGAGTTATAGAATGTCCATATATCCAGAGCCTCCAAGGCATTGTCATCATGATTCTCCAAGAAGCCCAGTGTCCTCTCTCTCGTACTATGTGCTCCCTAGCATCTTCCACATAAAGATATCTGAGCAAGCTGATGGGGTGTGTGCATGAGCCAGGCTCCTGCTCCACAAGGAGTACTATGTATGGAACTCTGAATCTCCACTATGTACAACTTGTTGGGTCCTTTGTATATTTGAAATTTACCAAGGGCAAATCCAACACCATTCAACTCATTTGTGTCTCTTGATGAAGTTCTCCATCTCTTTCTTTAATGACTCACTGACGTGCTTTTCTATCTTTTTTTAGTATCATTATCACTCCCTAGTTACTCCCCTAGCACCCATCAAAAAGCATCGTCTCTTAGACAGGGTATCATCCCCACTGGAGCCCAGCTGAAGACAGTGGAGCAAACGGTGGCAAAGAGGTGGCCAAAGCTGACTCAAGTCCTTTTGAAGGCCTTCCAGTCCTGGCTATGTAGTGTCATAAAAAAATCAAAACTCTTCCCCGTATCAAATACGGTCCGAAATACACCAGCGCCTTGGCTGTGACTGAAAAAGAGGGTCTTGTTCTGAGCCTCTGTCTGGTCCATCACCTCTCTCCCCAGAAGAGGAACGCCTGAGTAATCATGAATCTCCCCGAGGCATGATGGGTCAGCACACCCACCACACCTCCTAAGTATTTCATTAGCTGTTTTCCTATGAAATCTTCCCTTGGTTCTGCTTGATTCACTGTGTCCATCTTTGGTTTCTTGGGATCCATCCCTTGACTAATTTCTCACTGTACAATAAATATCACATGGCATCTGTATGCCATGATTCGTTCAGCTATTCCATTCCTAATTGGGTGAGAGAAGGAAGGGAAGGGAATAAGCATTTATTAAGCACCTAGTATGTGTGCTAAGTCCTTTATAATCATTATTTCATTTGAACCATGGGAGGGGGGAGATGCTATGATGGGGATCCATTTTACAGATGAGGAAACTGAGGCAGGCTGAGGTGAAGTGACTTGCCTAGGGTCACCCAGCTAAGGAAGTGTCTGAGGCAGGATTTGAACTCATATTCCTGCTGCCAGGCCCCCGGGGCTCTGTGCACTATGACATCGCTAGCTTCCTGTTAACTATCTACACAATTTGTGTCCAAATCAAATGTCGCTTTTTCCATGATAACTTTTGATTCCCCTTATGATTTGCTCTGCATTTTCCATGACTTTTTCTCCGATCCACACTTTCAATTCTGGAACACTTAAAATGACCTGGTTGCTGCTGGACTCCATTTCCCAGAATCCTTCGGAATGAGAGTTGTTGTTATTGTTTTGATTTTAAACCGGGCTAGACTCCATTTCCCAGAATCCACCTCCCCAGAGGAACGTTCTCAGGGCCTTGGCCCCACCCCCAACTCTTCCGGCTCCGCCCCATTCACGTTCCCGATGAATTCTGGGAGTCGTAGTTCGGTGCTCACTGTGAGCAGACCCTGTTACGGTCCTGGATTAGGGTTTGAGCCAGACTTTTTTTTTTTTTAATTTGCAGGAAACAGGTGAGTGAGCAAGGCGGGAGCGCGGGTGTTCGGACAGTCTGACCTCTTTCTGGCCGCGGGACCCTGAACTGGGCTTTGGCCTCTCCGGGCCTCAGTTTCCTCCTCCGTCAGATGCGGCCCCAGCAGGGGCAGGGGAAGGTCCTTGGAGGCCTCGATGCCACTCCCCCCCACCCGGAGGGGCGGGGTTTGAGGGGGCGGGGCTAGGAGGAGCTGACAGTTTAAGGGCACCGGGTGAGAGAACAGGAGCCCTGCCTGGGGGAGGGTGTAGAGTGGGGCGGGGTCTTGGAGGGGCGGGGCCAGGGAATATCCAGGGGGCGGGGCCGAGGAGCTGGAGCTGGGGACGGGGGGAAGGTGGCTGCACCTTACCCCTTTGAGATAATTGGCCGAACGTCGGACCACGCCCTTTCTATTGTGTCCTAATCACTCAACCTCCTTAGATAACAGGAGTCAGGAGAGATTTGGGTTCGAATCCCACCTAGACACCTGCAGTAGCTTGTTAAATCTCTTTCTGAGCCTCGTTTTCCTCTTCTGCCTTTCCCAGGGTAATCCTACTCTAATGCTTCGTTATGGCAGGCATATGACTTTGGCTTTGGAGGATAGTCATGAAAGCATTTAATTAAGTGCCTACGTGTGCCAGGCATTGTCCTGGGCACCGGGTATACAAACACAAAGAATAAAATAACCCCTACTCTTAGAAGGAGTCTACCTGCTAAAGAGGGAGGCAAGTGTGCATGTGTGTACAAAGTATCTTCAATCAATACGTATTTAGTAAGCTAGTTTGGGCGGGAGGGCGCTAGCTTCGTGTTAAAGGTGGGGCTTGAGCTCAGGGAGACCTGGTTCAAATCTGACGTCATACCCATACTAGCTGTGTGACTCTGGGCAAGTCACTTAACCTCTGCCTCAGTTTCCTCAGTTGTAAAATGGGGATGATAATAATAATTATCTTCCAGGGTTATGGTGAGGATCAGATGAAGATCTTTGTAAAGCACTTAGCAAAGTGCATGTAGTAAGTTCTTAATAAATGCTTATTTGTTTACTTCCTTCCCTCTCTCTTTCCTTCCTTTCTTTGACCTGATGACTTATTTGCTCTCCTATACCTAAATCAGCTGATGGTGTGAGCTGATGACAGTCCTCATCAGAGCCATCATCTTACATTCCTAAACCAGAACTTATGGAGGGTCCAGTCTGGCTAGCAGTGTTACTGTGCTCTGTGAGGGTATCTGTGTACCTTACCTTAGATAGATACAGCCTCTATAGCTGACGTCCTAGACAGGGAAGATACTGACTCTGGGTTCAATCTGCTCCCTCTATGTGGATTGATTACTGGATTAGAGTTCTCTGAGTCTTCTCACTGTTCCTGGACCATTTTTGTGGTTCAGACAGTCTGAAAAACTGGTAGGCAGTCTCCCACTGAGGTAGGTGCCCGTCATTCTCCTCCTGCTCATCACTGGAGGCATTAAGTGGCCTTCACAGGGAACTTCCCAGAGTCTGGCAATATTCTGCAAATGGACAAGTAGCCCAGTCATTACAGCTCATGAGGAGTCAATTTCCATCAATCGGCTGACTTGTGTGTCCTGTGAGCACCAAGATTTCTTAGCAAAACTCTGTTGGTTCTAGTTCTTTCCAATGAGCTTGGGCATCTTACCCTTTTTTATTTCTATCAAGGTGCTGTTACTTCTCTGTACAGAGTAATGAGGTCACCTTAAGCTGAGGGTGTAGGAAGGTGATCAGCTTCCCACGTGACAGTGAGATATATGCTGGTGAGTGTCTGCGCTCAATCTGTCCTCAGAGAATGCCTCATTATCATGTCAGACTTTTTGAGTAGTTAGTTTTATTCAATTCTCCCTCACCCCCCTTTTTTTGTTATAAAGGATAACTCAGAAAGGGAGAAGGGAGAATTACATTGGGAAATATGGATAATGTTAAAACAAAATATATTAATTTTTAAAAAAGCTTTCTCCAAAGACTTAAGTAAATTGATTCATCCTATGTCCTGTCAGGTAAGGAGAGAGAAGAAATGGAAATATGATCAAGTCATCAACAATTTGAGTTGATTATTTAGTATTATGAAGAATATAGGGAAACATTATTTTATTTCAGCCCGTGTTTCCTAAATCCCCTTAGAAGCAGGAAAGAGTCAGTCTCTCAGGAACAAAAATTCACAGCCCTTCACTATGTTTCTTCAAGAAGATGAGACTTCTTATGTGGTTTGATGTCTTCTGTAATGAAACAACGAACTCGATTGTGCACCAGTAATGCCAGCCTGGTGAATTAAGGTTCTCTGAGGAATGACCAGCCTTCCATTTACCTTCTGTCTTCTCCTCCAGTTCTAGCTTGTGAAGACTTTGGACTTGGCCAAGAAGGGAGAATCAAGGTGGGGGAGAACATGGCTGCTGGGCACCTGCTAGCTAATTACCAGGTGAGTAACCCTAACCCTAACCTCCTCTTTCTGCTGAAATGCCACCTCCTTCCTAGAAGTGTCAACAGTTTCCTTTCTCTTGTCTTCACCTACTCCACTCTGCCAAGTTGTATCCAGAGGCCTTTCTGTCATGTCTTCCCTCCCAGAAGACTCTCTGCCTGGGCTCTGCTCCTGCTGCCTGGATGACACTGTGGCTTCTGTTTCCCTTTGTTTTTCTCTGCTTAGAATGTCAGGCTTCTGGCAGTCTTTTGTGCAGGCCTGGACAAGATCCAGGAACCTATTGACATTTACTTGTCTGGTTTTCTTTGTCATTGTTCTGTCTGGTGCATTTTTTTTTTTGCACTTTGAACATTTTGTGAAAGAGCTGGGCTTCTCTATGACCTCTCACCTTAACCAGAAACCTCAAAATCCTCTTAAAGAGACAGTAGCATTTCTTAGTCACAGTAGAAGAAGTTACTGAAGCTGATATTAACATTAGCGTGAGAAGTTTCAATGATATCTTGGAGACAGTTCGTTTATTAAATTATTCATTCACTAAGTTTTTGAATCATTGAATATGTTTTACCCTATAAATGCTAAAAATGGCTCATGCATAAAGGAAAGGATGGCAACACGGACCATCACCATTTCCTATAGAAGTTTAACAGATGTAAAGCGCTTGCCAAAATAAGGAGGGAAAGAGAGTCAGAAAATACTCAAACCAATAACCCCTTGGTTTCCTATTTTGCTTTTGAATTTAATTTATTACTAATCCAAACTCTGTGAAACAGTGAAGTCCAGGTAACACCTGTTCCTCCTCCCTCTTCTCCTCATACACCCTCATGATGAGACGTGCAGGAGGGATCACATTTTGTCTCTCATTTCTTCCCTGGTGTATTTTTTCACTCTCTTAATTTCTCCCCTCTTCTCAGACCATCAACACAGAACAAACCATCCCGATCCTCTTTTGTCTTACTGAACTCCCTGTGACCCTTAGCCAGTCTCTAAGTTACTTCTTTCTTCTCCTCATGTTAAAATAGAATGTAAGTACTTATCGTCATTGAACTCCTTCTAGTGGTGAAATGTTGTTACCTTTCTATGTGTCTCCTGACTCCTGTGTTGGTAATTCAGAGTTTTCACTCAGCTTTGACCTTTTCATGTTTCAGTATGTGAAATCCTTCTATTCAATAAACATTCATTTTCCTCTATAATATCAGATTAAGTCTTATAGGGCAAGTTATTCTTGGTTGTAAGCAAAAGTTTATAAGGCAAAAATTAAAACTTTTGCCTTTTAGTATATTATATTCTAAGATTTTCCCTCTTTTACAATAGTTACTGCCAGTCCTTTATTTTTTTTTCATTATTTTAATACTATGATTGTGTTTTCACATTTCTTACTGACTCATGAAATCACTGAGTTCTGTTTGTTCTATTCTGTTTTTGAGGAGTCTGCTACATGGATAAAGTTTTGCTCCTTCCATTCTAAGCTGTTTATTTTCCTTCCAATTTTTAAAAAATGAGATTGATCCCTTTTTTTCATTCCTTGTGACCAAGTCCTTCTCCCCCACCCCCCACCCCCAGGCTTTGCTTGACCTTGTCCTAGAGTTACTTTCCTTTTCTGGATTTTTCTTTTGGTCATCTCTTGATCCGTAATACTTCTTCATAGTTTTCAGTGCCTTTTTCTGTTTTCTTATGTCTCTAGCTTTAGTTTTTGATTTAGTACTCTGTGCCAGGGTCAGGATGTGTTTTTTCCCACATTTGTGTATGAAGTAGTCAAGCCTTGTTTGGTCTTTGGTACCTCAATTACTTAAGTACTTGCTGCCAGCTTTCACCTCTCCTAGTGTTCGGAGTGCTAGAAGGCTTCACTTCTTCAATAAGAAAGCTGGGTTTGGTATCATCAGTTAAGGCACTGCCATCTTTTTTTTTTTTTGGCTAGGCAGTGGGGTTAAGTGACTTGCCCAGGGTCACACAGCTAGTAAGTGTTATATGTCTGAGGCTGGATTTGAACTCAGGTCCTCCTGAATCCAGGGCCAGTGCGCCATCCACTATGCCACCTAGCTGCCCTCATTTAATTAAGGTATTGCCATCTTGGGACTCTTTTAGTAATGATCTGCCATTACCTTCTGGCCTCTTCAACTGAGCCCATGCTTGCTTTCCTCTGGCAGGACCTTTCTTCCAGACCTATAGCTTTTTAGATGCCTCTTTGTGCTGCACTGTGCTGTGCTATGCTGTGCTTGGCTAGATGAAGGACCTGACTGATGTTTCTCTGTGTGGATTTCTTGATATATTTTTAGTTTCATGTCCTTTTTAGGTCATTGTTGGCATTTACATGGGACAGCTGGATTTCCCTTCACCTATTCACACTGCCATCTTAATGAGAACACCACAAGTCATAAGTTAAGTTGGAAGGAGAACAACAAATGGGAGAACAGTGGAACAGATGTGTCATTGTTTCCATAAAAAAACTTCACTTTTGGTGGCTGTACATCCATCCCCAGTATGCTACAGAAGAGATTAAAATGGTGCTATAAATGGAAACAAGAGGAGTACTTAGAATAGACACGTATTTGAGGAATAGTGATCCAGGCCAAAAAGATCTGTGGTTTGGTTTTACCTAACAGGAAATTAATCTATATTAATGGAAGGGAGAAGGTATAAAATCAGTCCATTGACATTTAATCAGCACCTTCCCTGTGAGCCCTACAAATCTAGGTGCATGTAATAGGCCTCTAAAGGCCTATAAGTCAAAAAAGAGACACACACATATTCATACTCATACTTTCACAAATTCACACTCACGCATTCACACAACATACACACACATATTTATGGAGTGGACCAGGAGCAACGCATGAAACTCTTTAGGCTTATTTGGTTTCTCACCCACTGAAATCATTGGGGCATGTAGATACCCAACTCCCATATGTCCTTCGGTGTGCCTATAGCAGACGCTAATATTCACATAAAATCAAATCTCCAGATGTCAGATGTAGAGTTGTATCTTTTACATCTTCCATTACAGCCCTGAGATGTAATCAAAATAATAGCATGATATCAGACTGCATACAAAGTACAAACAAAACACAAATAACTCCTTAGTGGAGACAATGCTGATCTGAAAGCCCAAGGGATTGATTTATGACCTCAGTCTATGTCTCTACAGTTGTACAGTTATTGAAAGTAGAGACTGCAAAAGTGCTTTGCTTATGTTTTGTTGACTTTGAAACAGTAGCAATAATGACAGTACAATTTTGGTAGAACTAAATGCATCTTTAAAAGTTTTCTTCCAGCAGGCTGTCTCTCCACAAGCATGTGATCACACACATGCCATGATCATATACAAATCCTGGATAGGCATAAGAAAAGAGAAAACAAATTTCACCAGTCCTCATGCATAGAGAGCCAGCCCTGCAACTAGACAGATCTAGATTCAAGTCCCATATCTGACAGATCCTGGCTGTGTGACCCTGGCATGTCATTCAATTCCTCAGTGCTCTAGGCAGCTCTAAAATATAAGTGTAGAGAAAAACACTGCCCTATATTGGCAGAGGGCATTTCCCTATTACACTGAAATCATACATCTAGTCTCTATCCCTCTACCTGATCACTGGATCAATGTAGCCATAAAACAGAGATCCAGGGGTATTCCCTATGGTCATGGGAGATGGCCTCTGTAGGGTTGAATGGAAGAGGGGCTTTCTCCAGATGGTTCATGTTGGTATAGTTGATAACACTGCACCATCCTTCTCAGTGATCCGCTGCGGAAAATCAAATGCATGATGGATGCCACTGTTGAGAGTATGACATATATTTGGTTAGGTGGTCTACCAGTACACACATCTAAGACGGATTCTATTCTGTAAATAGCCAATGAGCCAGACCCAGAATTGAATAGGAAGAAGAGGGTGTGCATGATTGCCTTTTAGAAACTACAGAACCCTTGCTGTGAATCCATCTTTTATCTTGATACTTTAGCACAGGCTGGCTGTCCTCTCTGTCTGGAATGCATTGTCCTGCTTATTTGAATCTATTTTTCTTCAGAGCCCAACTTAAATGCCATCTTCTACATACGGACGTTCTTTATCCTTTAACTACTAGGGTTTCCCCCCTTGAAATTACCTTGTATATATGTTGTATGTTCCTATAGATATATGTACTATTTCTTCTGATAGAATATAAACCCATTGAGGACAGACGCTATTATGTTTTTGTTTTTGTATCCCTAGCACCTGGTACAGTATCCAGCACAGAATAAGTAGGAGCTTATAAATGCTTAATAATGGAGCCTAAGCTGTTTCTGATGGAATAACACATATTTTTATTATTGCTGATACTAGGCTCCCCAAAGAATCAAACTGTAGGTGCCCAAAAGATAGTGGTCAGGCATATGGTGATCTGAAACATAAAGTCAAAGAAGCCTTATTTGAGTTATTGAGTTGTTCATCCTTCATCTTCTTTTTTTCCTTTTTTTCTTTTCTTTTTTTTTTTGGTGAGGCACTTGGGGTTCAGTGACTTGGCCAGGGTCACACAGCTAGTAAGTATCATGTGTCTGAGACTGGATTTGAACTCAGGTCCTCCTGACTCCAAGGCCAGAGCTCTCTCCATTGCATCATCCTTCATTTTCAAACAGGATAAATGACATTACAAGTGATATCTTGACTTGTGCTCATTTGCAAGAAATGGCAAAAAAGATGTCATTTTTTAAGAAAGAGTGACTAGAAAAGAAGGCGGCTAGGCATCACTCAGTCAACAGGAGTGGGTATGGATCATCATTTGTCATAAAAGGTTGTAGTGGAGATGTCATTCATGTGTAGGTTGGAGACTCTTCCAACTGTCAAATTCTGTGGTTATGTAAGTTACGAAGCCTTTCTGTGTGCCAGAGACTATGCTATGTACTGGGAATGCAAGCACAGAAGGAAACCATTCTGTACCTTCAAGGTAAAGACAATATGCATGGTATATGTATGGTATGGACAAAGTGGATACAAGTAATAACATCAGAGGAAGGCATTTGCAGCTGGGGAGATCAGGAAAGGCCTCCCAGGTATGAGGGATAGCCAGTGCAAAGACAAAGAAACAGAAGATAGAGTGTCACATTTGAGGAACAGTCAGACTGTGGGGTACGGGGGGGAAGAGGGGATATATGAGCTTAAAAAAGTTGAGAAGCACTTCAGATGTCAAACAGAAGAACAGTTAAGAGGATATAGTAATTGTGCAGGCTAGAGGCAATGAAGGCCTCAGGGTAGTTGTGTGTTAGTACAAGGGAGAGATGCTACAGAGGTCGAAGTAACAAGATTTGGCAATTATTTGGCTACGTAGAGTGAGTGAGAGTGAGTCTAGGAGTCTAGGATAACACTGAAGTTACAGGCCAGAATGACTGGGGGAATGGGGAGGAAACAAGGATTTATTAAGTGCCTACTACTCACCAGGCATGGTGCTAAACACCTTACAAATATTATCACACAACAACCCTGGGAAGTAGGTTCTATTAGTCCCATTTTTCAGTTAAGGAAACTGAGGCAGGCAGAGATGAAGTGACTTGTCCACAGATAGTAAGTGTTTGAGGCCATATTTGAATTCAGGTCTTCCTGACTCTAGACCCAGTGCTCTATTGCCTGAGACTCCTAGCTGCCTTTAAGTGGCACATTAAATAGAAACTGGCAAGTATAGAAGAGGGTTGAGTTTGGGGAAAATAAGAATGAATTCTGTTTTGGATGTGGTGAATTTGAGATGCACATAGGGCATCCTGTTTGAAATGTCCAGTAAGCAGCTGATGTTGCAAGACTGGAGCTGAGGAGAAGAGAACCTGGCCTGGGTCTACAGATTATGGGAATCTTCGGCTTTGTGATGATAATGAAACTGTGAACTGATGAGATCACTTGGAGAAAGGGGAGCATGTCCAAACTGTCTTCCTCCAGAACGGGATGTATTTGGAATAAAGGAAGCAGCAGCTTCAAGAGAGTAGTTTCATATTAAGCAGAGATGGCATCAGGGAAGATTTGTATTTTAATCTTCCACTTGTGGCCCACTTCTGCCCCAGAGTGGGTGCTCAGTAATGAAGAGTAATTGATGTCTCTAGAAAGAAGTGTGATTTTGAAATGTGGAGGGCACATTTAACTTGAGTCTAAGTGCTGGAATTGATTTGTACAACTGACCTTGAGTCATAAAGTTGTTTACAATATAGCGAGCATAAAGGGAGGAAGATGGTAAGTAGCTCCTCAAGAAATCCTTGACATGGGGTGCTCCAAACCCCTTGAAAATCATTCTCTCTTCGTAATACCAATTTCATGTCTCCTAACTTCCTGGACAACTTGAGAGCGAACTTGACCAGAAACTGCCCTGGAGGAGAGACTTCTGCTCTCACCTTAGGGTATGCTTCAGCCTCCTGCATCTCAGCCAGTATCTCCCTTCATTCCCTGGTCATCTTCTTGCTAATGGCTTTGCTGCTGCGCACAGGCCTGCTTCCCTCCCTGCCTGCTTCCCTCCCTGCCTGCTTGCAGCTTCTTGGACTATAATCAGATCCTTTCCATCACTGCTCATGGAATGGATGCAGCCACCTATTCCCCTGTGTCTCCACTCACCGTTCCTGTAATTCTCCAACCCTCTGTGACCATCTCTCCTCTGCATGTGTTGTCTTCTGCTATTAGAATGTCAGCTTCTTGAGGGGAGGGACTGTCTTTGCTTTTAGCATAATGCTTGGCACATAATAAGCTCTTAACAAATGCTTTTTCATTAACTCATAAGAGTTAATGTACCATAAGAGGAATGTTCCTGTGTGAGAAGGAATGTTTTTTGATATTTCAGACAATACTGACATTTCAAGATGTGGCTGTGGATTTTACCCAGGAGGAATGGGGTTTGTTGGAACCAGCTCAGAAGGACTTGTTCAGGGATGTGATGCTGGAGAACTATGAGAATTTTGTCTCCCTGGGTAAGGACGGCTTTTCTCTCCTGAACCATCTGGCCATGGGGATTTCTTGGCATTCTCACTTTTTGCAGGTTATGGCATAGCTGAAATGTTTCACAAGAGTTTTAACTTCATGTGAAGGCATATTCCCATCAATGCCTGTAATGCAGAAAGATTCCTAAATCCTTTGGTGTTATTTCTGCTTCCTCTTTCCTACTGCATATTCAGTTCTGTGCTAAAGTCCTAGTATAACTGCTTGAAGACATGAAGTTTCCATTTTCATAGTAGAAAGTGTGTTAAAATGAAACAATTTTCTTTCTAATTCAAAACCTGACACTTGTCCACAGAACACAATACAGAGTCTCCCTTCAGAGGTCCTTTCTAGCAGCCTTCTATGCCCCAAAGAGAAAATAGCCAAGATTGAGCTCTGAGGTGTCTCCATTCTCAGCAATTTTTCAGTTATTTTTCTCATGAGCAGGGCTTCCAGTTTCCAAGACAGATGTCCTCTCCCAGTTGGAGAAAAGAGAAGCACTGAGACTTCCCGAGAGAGAAATTCCAAGAAGCCCTTACCTAGGTGAGTGCACCTTGAGGCAGCATTCTGTTAGATGATTGAAAGTATCACCCCAGCCCATCAAGCCAGTAAGAAGCCTCACCTTGAATTGTTGGGGTAGTCCTCCTTCTTAAAGGATCCTGAGCCACAGGGAGACACTGTTGACCCCTCCAAAGCTACTTTCTCATCTTTCCCCTGAAAAATCACTGTCCTCAATGTCCTGACCTCACATTTCCCTCCAGCTTCAGAGAAATAGGTGTTTGGTTTTTTTTCTGATGCTAATTCTTCTACCTATACTATATCCTTTCTTATTTTTCAGTCTTCTTGCAGCTGTAGTCTCTCCCTTTTCTAAGGCTTTTTTCCTTCTGATTTCAGATAGTCTGACTCATATCTCAAAGAACAAACTTTTCCTTGTCCCTCTTGCTTGTTTTATCTGCCTTCCATCTCATCTTCATTCACTTCTAAACCTCATAAACATGCGATCTACATCCTCTTTCTCCATTTTCTCCTTTCTTTTCTTGAAATTCTACAGTCTACCTTCTATTCCTGTTGTTCTATAGTTGATGGCTTCCCATATTTATAGATTTATATATACATATGCATATACCCCATATTTATATATATATATATATATATACATATATATTACTACCAGTAGCTTATATACCTATAACACTGTATACCTATATTCACTATATAGTGAAAATAATATCATCCCTACTTTATAGGTGAAGAGCCTGAGTGAGACTCGGTGAGATTTTGACTTATCTACGATCCCGTGGCCAGTAATATCAGGGACTCTAAGCTAGGCTTTCTGCATCTCAGTGTTAAACCAAATCTCAGTTCGGGCCTTGCCCTGGTCAGTAAGGCGAACTCAGAAAATAAGACAAAGGAGTTTATTGGCACACCAAGACAGCTTGCAGTTGAGTGCAGCTGCTGGATTCCAACTGCCTGCATACTGCTTTTTATAGACAGGATTAAGCACTTTTTCTGTGAGGAGAAGGGATTAAAGCTGCTTCAGCTCCTCCCCCTTACTGTACCATAGGAAGATGGGATTAGTGTGCATGCCCAAGGGTACTTTCTGGACCACCTTCCCCTGCAGGCTGGTTGTGCATTACCCAAAGTCTACACAAGGTTTTTAAACTTGGGGTCACTCAGACTGACTCTGCACAAGTCAAGTGACTTTGCACACCAGTCTAGCACTCTCCACCCCTATCCGCTAACCACCAGCCTAGTTGCTCTGCCAAAAACAGCCTAGTTGCTCTGCTTTTGGCACAGTGAGAACACCAGCAGAAGGTCAGATAGTTGGAATTCTTATCCCTACTGTATTATGCCTCTGTGAAATAATAACACGTCATATTTATGTGGTGCTTTAAGACTTGAAAAGCGCTTTATCTCATTTGATTTTCATAACAAACCACCCAGCTGTCTCACATGATCTGTTGCCGAACCAAATCTTCTGTACCTGAGTAATTAGTATTTTAACCCTGTCTGCAGGACTTCACATTTATCTATGTTAAATTTCAAAGTTTGTCTTGGCCCACTCCTCCAGCCTACTGAGATATTTAAAAAATGTCTTTATTCAGTTTGTACCTAACAGGTATCCTTATGTACCTTTGTGTCATCAAAAGATGAAAGAGTGCCTTCTGTGATTTCATCCAGGATATTACCAAAATTGTTGAATGGAATAAGGTTGAGGAGAATCCCTAAGGCATGAAATTAGAGAATATAATCCAGATGGACAAAATTCTTTATTCCAGAGTATTTTTCATAAGGTTTTTTAACTGGCCATGAACTCAGCGTACATTTCTTCATCTTGTCGGCAAAGGCAGTTTTGTCATATGCATTTTTGGAAGCTAATCTCGACTCTTCCCATCCTTTGTATTCCTGTTCATAAATCTTATAAATAATAAGCTTTGTTTTGTATGATATGTTTCTTTTAAATCACTACTAGATCTTAGGGATAATCACTTTCTTTTCTAATGCTCTAGCCATCTGTTTGATAGCAAGCAACTAAGTTTTTGCCAAGACTTGAGTTCAGATTTAACAGTATCTATTTTTCAGAATTAATATGTTGGTTCATTCTGATAATTCAGCTGTTTGTGAAGTCCTGGGCTGTTAAGTGTCCTGTTCCTCTCTCCCCATTTAACTTGGGCTTCAGTTTCTACTTTTAAAATGTCGGGATTTTTTCTACCTGTTTCAGATTGATGGTCATTCTCCTTGATAAAGGAGATAGAATCTAGATGTTAGTATTAAATATCAATTTTTTTCCCTCTCCAGAGTTTCTGCAGAAATGTAATGCAGTTGGACAAAAAGGCAGTCAGAAGTCAGTCCTTGCTGCACAACATGGAGCTTCCAAAGCCAACTTCAAACACTTTTCAGACTTAAGTGAATATAACGGAATTGATATAGGTGAGAAACTTTATAAGAAAGGCAAGAAACCCTTTACTGACGACTCAAACTTTATTCTTTACCATGGAATATATACTCAAGGAAAACACCCTAAACATAATGAATTTGGCAGAACCTTCAGTATCAATTCATGCCATCCTGTACATCAAAGAATTCATACTGAAGAGAAACTATTTGAATGTAATGAATGTGGAAAACACTTGAGCAGTAAACAAAACCTAACTGCACATCAATTAAGTCATACTGGGAAGAAGCCATTTCCATGTAATAAATGTGGAAAAACTTTTAACAGTAATCAAATCTTATCTCAACATCAAAGAATTCATACTAGAGAGAAACCATCTGAATGTAATGAATGTGAAAAATCCTTCAGCCAAAAGGGGAACTTCTACAAACATAAGAGAACTCATGCAGGAGAGAAACCATTTGAATGTAATGAATGTGGAAAATCATTCAGCCAAAAGGGAAACCTCTTTAAACATCAGAGAATTCACAGTGGTGAGAAATGTAAAAAAATTCACAATAGAAAAAAGTCATATGTTTGTAATGACTGTGGGAAAGGCTTCAACTCTAAGCAACATCTTGAAGTACATAAGATAATTCATTCTGGAAAGAAGCCCTGTGAATGCAATGTATGTGGCAAAGCCTTCCGCAATAAACACTACTTAGGAAAACATAAAAAAATTCATACTGGAGAAAAACCTTGTAAATGTAATGAATGTGGAAGGGTCTTCAGGGAGAAAGGCAGCCTTGAAAAACATATGATGATTCATACAGGTGAGAAGCCCTTTGAATGTAGTAAATGTGGAAAAGCCTTCAGCAGTAATAGGTATCTACTTCAACATCAAAAAACCCATACAGGAGAGAAACCCTACAAATGTAATGAATGTGGGAAAGCTTTCAGCAGTAATAGCTACATAATTGAGCATCAAAGAATCCATACTGCACAAGAGCCATATAAATGTAATGAATGTGGTAAAGCCTTCAGCAGTAATAGGTACTTAATTCAACATCAAAGAATCCATGCTGGAGAGAAGCCATATAAATGCAATGAATGTGGGAAAGTCTTCCGTAGTAATAGGTACTTAATTCAACATCAAAGAATTCATACTGGAGAGGAGCTTTATAAATGTAATGAATGTGGGAAAGCCTTCAGTAGTAATAGTTACATACTTGAACATCAAAGAATACATACTGGAGAGAAGCCTTTTAAATGTAATGAATGTGGGAAAGCTTTCATCAGTAATCAAAAGTTATCACGACATCAAAGAATCCATACAGGAGAGAAGCCCTATAAATGTAATGAATGTGGGAAAGGCCTCAGCACTAAAATGTACCTAATTCAACATCAAAGAATTCATACTGGAGAGAAGCCTTTTAAATGTAATGAATGTGGGAAAGCTTTCATAAGTAATAAACAGCTATCTAGACATCAAAAAATTCTTGCCACAGAGAAGCCATATAAATGTGATGAATGTGGGAAAACCTTCTGCACCAATTCTCTCTTTGAAGCACATAAGGTACTAGTAAGAATTTCTGTGAATGTATCCAAGCTTGGAGAAACATAGACGTACACCATTTCCAAGATGTGGGTCAACTTTGGGTGGGGGCATAAGGAGCCCAAGACAGGAGTAACTATCTTTTCTTCTAAAAAAGCAAAGAAACTGTTCTCAGAGACTTGATTGCTCCAGGGGACAACCTCTCAAACTGTTATGACAGTTTACTGGTCACCTAAGGCAGAGGTGTCAATCATGCTGTCCATCTGGGACACTCCCAAGTGAACCAGATTAAAATGCAATTGGGAAATATTTAACAAAATACATCAAAATACAGTTAAACATAGATCCTATTAATCTGTCATTTTCTAGGTCAGTATGCAACCTTTGGGATCCTCATGTATGGGTTAGTAGTCTCCATTTTTATTTGACACCTCTGATGTAAGGCAAAAAAAGCCCTGTGCACAAAGGAGTTGGTTTCTCCAGGCTTGAAGGAGTCTGTAGTGGTCAGGCAGATCTCCTCCTGGAGAGGAAGGAAACTGAACAATGCTGAACCTTCCTTAAATGCTGTTCCATGATATTATTCATTAAATTCCCTTTTGTAAAACATGATGGTTCTTCAGTGCATCTTTCATTCCGATCCCAAGCTTAAGCCACTGGACCTGCCTGAGTAAGGCCTGGCTCAGAACATATAACATAATGAGAACTGACTTGGAATAACCTCATATCTGAAGTTGGAGAAGGGCAATGAAGAAGAGGAAGGGACCCTGCTACCCTTATATAGCAGCTCCACACCCCTCATCCCAACAATGTTGTTGTACTTCTGGCTGCATACCACAAGGCCTTTTAATAGAATGGAGTTAGGGCTTCCACCATCTTAGGGGGATTAGCTCAGTAGATGTTTAAGAGTGTCAACATGGAGAATAAAGATACTTCAAGGATTAGTACCCTGTGATTCTTTCTCATTACCTTAGCAAAGTTGAATCACCAACACAAAGAAAATCTAACTATCTGCCTTTATTTACCAACTAAATGTTTTCTGGGTCTTTAAGAACCATATCCTTAATGCAAAGGGTTAACTTATGGACACAGTCAATTTTTATTTTCAGTTGTTTGGGTTGAATCAGGCCATTATAAATACTAAACAGGTGATGACCTCTGCTAAATATTGTAAAATATTATTGGTTGAAATGATATAACCTTTTATTTAGGGATTTAATTATATGATCCAAGAACTGTTTTGAGTGAAGTGCTTGGGACTCTATGTGGCTTTCAGAAAATTGTTAAGAACTGTACCATGTGGACTTTACTGAAAATCTGTACCCCAAGGAACAGGAGGAGACAATGGAAAGAACAGTGCTTTAGTTTCCCAGAACCCCAATGAACTCTTTAGAACAGGAGGACAGGACAAATATGCCAAATAGACTACAATTATTTTGCTATGGACAGTAAGTATATGGGGGGAAGAGCTTAATGAGATCAAATGGGACATTTGTAACGAGCTAAGCACATAGTAGGTGCTTAATAAATGCACATTCCCTTCCCCCTAATAAGAGTAATCAACTGACCTCTCCTCAATTTCAGATCACTCTAGCCCTCCAAGATTAGGCTAGTTTTTTTCTCAGAGGTGTTGAAACTGCCCTTGAGATTTAATTGGCTGATTTAATTGGAGATTTAAATCTTGGACCTTGACCTTGCTTCCTGGTTGTCTGAGTACAAAGACATGACAGGATATGAGAAGTTGGAGAACCTCCCTGAGGTTTCTGACCACATACCACGTGATGAACAGTAGCACAGGAGGACCACATTAGTCTGAGTGAATCAAGGCTCTGTTCTAAATTAAGATGCTTTGTCAGCACTTCCTCTCTGAATTTTCAACCTGGGGTGCCTAGCCGGGTCTGGCCTATTACATCACACCATTCTTACATACATCTAAGACATGGATGAAATTGTTGAATAGAAGATGACCAGAGACAGCACCTGGGATTCCACCAGATGCCCCTCACTCAAAGTTGACGTCAACTAGTTATCACTCTTGGAGTTAGGTCGCTCAACTAATTCTGAATCTATGCAGCTAGACTATTGTAATGTTTTAGACCCTTAATCACCTCCCACAAGGTTTAGATCAGGGGTGGGGAACCTGTGGCCCTCTAGGTCCTCAAGTGCAGCCCTTTGACTGAATTTGGATTCTTGAGGACCTAGAGGGCCACATGTGTCCTCAAGGCCGAAGGTCCCCCACCCCTGGTTTAGATAATCACCTTTATGGGTAAACATTCTAAGCTACATCTGAATTTTCATGCCTTCAGGGAAAGAAAGAGCAATGCTGTACTCTGCATTTTAGGCACAAGTCTGCCAGAAACTATTTTATTTAACATTATTCTAATATTTAAGCATTTCTTGCCTTAAGAGAGACATGTCCAAATTTGGCATAGTTCCCCTATGCCCTCCAACATGTACCTCTACCCAAAGACAACGGAGGTGACATTTGTAGGAATCTTGAATAAGAAATAGATCCTACTATGTTAAAACATGGTTGGTGGTGAATGTTCCAAAACAGCAGTCAATACTCAGCTCCTTCCTAGACCACTCCTCTCAAGTGTTCTCCTAGAGAAAACAAAGAAAACTGCTATATCAGTGAGTAAATAAATCAAACAGTGAACAAGTTAAAATAGTTAATAATTAATACTAAATAATTAAGCACCCCCTCTGTGCTAAGTGCTGGGGATATGAAGATGGGTAAAAGATCATCCTCGTCCTGGAAGAGCTCACATCTTGATGAAAAAGACAAAACACACATAACTATGCACAAACAAACCATGTCCTTGATAAACCGGAAATAATCAACAGAGAAGGCACTAGCATTAAGAAGAATCGGGAATGGCCTCGTGTAGAAGGCCGGATTTTAGTAGGGACTTGAAGGACACTAGGAAAGCCAGGAGCCAAGATAAGGAGGGTGAGCATTCGGTCCATGGGGGAGAGCCAGCAAAAATCTCCAGTTACGAGATAAAATACAGGAATAGCCAGGAGGCCACCGTCACTGGATCACGGAGAACGTGGTAACATGTGAGCAGACTGGAAAGGGGGGGGGGAGCAGCTTAGGAAGGGCTTGGAACACCAAACGGGATTATATTTGATCCTGCAGGCTAGCCGAAGCCACTAAAATTTAGGGCTGCTAGGAGGCGCCTTAGTGCATAGAGCTCTGGTCAGGAACACTCATCTTTCCCAGTTCAAATCCTGCCTCAGATACTTACTAGCTGTATAGCAAGTCACTTAACTCTGCTTGCCTCAGCTTCCTCATCTGTAAAAGGAGCTGGAGAAAGAAATGGCAAACCACTCCAGTATCTTTGCCAAGAAGACCTCAAATGGGTTCTGGAAGTCACACAGTAGTTGAGAAGTAGTAGTGGCATATATTTACATAGCGCTTCAAGTTTTGCGAAGTACTTTACATTTCTCATTAGATCCTCAGAACAACCCTGGGAAGTAGGCGCTATTATTATGTTCCTCATTTTACTGATGAGGAAACCGACCCAGTAATTTGAACACTGTCTCCCACTAGGGAGGTCCTTGAGTCCAAGGACCGTGTTCTTCCCCTTCCTTGTATTCCCGGTGCTTAACAGCGAATATAGTAAGAGCTTAATAAACCTAGATGAGCTTAACGGTAAACGTACACCAGGGACTTCATTTCCCAGAATCCCTCAGGAGCTTTAGCCCCGCCCCCCGGCCCCGCAGGGATGAGTCCTGGGCCTCCCTTTGGGCGGGGGAAGGGAGCATGCGCAGTGCGGCCGCGCGTGGGGGCGGGCCCTCCAAGCCTGTGGATGTGACCGCAGCCCCCCCTGTTCGGCCGGCGACGGAGGCATCAGCTCCCCGAGGACTGAAGGGCGGCGTCACGCGCTGGGGAGGGGCCAGGCCGCCGAGGGGCGGAGGCGGCGGGTTGACCCCGGCCCTGATGCTGTGTGACCCCGAGTCGGCCAATACCCTCTCTGGGCCTCAGCTGCCTCCTCTGCACGATGAGAAGGGGCGCCCGATGGCCTCCGCAGCCCCTTCCCGGCCCGCCTCGATGACCCCCCGATGGAGGGAGCCGGGCCCGGGGCGGGTCTGGAGCTGGAGCTGCAGCTGGTGCAGAGTCAGTGTCTCCAGAGGGACCCTCCTCCGTCTGGGGGACAAGGTGGGAAGGGGCCGGGGGGGTTGGGCTGGTCCCCTGACCCAAGGACAGCACCGGCCTCCCGCGTAACCCGCATCTCCTCCCCAGGTCTGGCTGGTGGGGACTCCGGCCTCGCCACAGCGGGGAGAGCCGAGGGGCAGGAGGGCGTGAGCGGCGGCGGCTGGACCCAGGGCCCTCCCCACGTGAGTGACGCATGGTCCGCTCCCCTGCTCCCCAGGGCGGGGCCACCCCCACTGGGCCCTGAGACTGGAGGGGGGGCACGTGAGTGACACATTGTCCCTTCCCCCAGGGGCGGGGCCACCCCCACTGGGCCCCGAGACCTGAGGGGGGGCACGTGAGTGACGCATGGTCTGCTCCCCAGGGGCGGGACCACCCCCCACTGGGCCCCGAGACTTAAGAGGGGGCGCATGAGTGACGCATGGTCCATTCCCCCTGCTCCCCAGGGCAGGGCCACCCCCCTCCCCCCGCTGGGCCTCGAGACCTAAGAGGGGGCACGTGAGTGATGCATGGTCCACTCCCCCTGCTCCCTAGGGGCGGGGCCACCCTCCACTGGGCCCTGAGACCGGGGGTCACGTGAGTGATGCCTTGTCCCTCCCCAGGGGCGGGGCCACCCCCCACTGGGCCTCGAGACCTGAGGGGGGGCACGAGAGTGACGCTTTGTCCCCTCTCCAGAGGGTGGTACCCCCTCACCACCCACCCCCACTGAGTCCCGAGACTTGGGGGGCCCCACGTGAGCGATGCTTTGTCCCCCTCTCCCCTCCCCAGAAGGCGTGATCATCTCCATCCTCCTCCCCAACCCCCCTCCAGGCGTTGCCTGTCTGACACACAAAGGGGGCTTTGACAGATCCTCCCCTCTAGCCTCTGAAAGGCTCTCCGTTGCTCTATATTACTGTTATTGTTGTTGTTATTGTTGTTGTTTATTACTGCTCCTGAACTATATTTTCCAACATTTTTTACCATCCCAGGCGGTTTAGTGCACAGAGTGCTGGGTTTGGAGTCAGGAAGACCCAATTAAAATTTGGCTGCAGATACTTACTATGTAGACTGCCTTTGTGACCCTGGGCAAGTCACTTAACCTCTATCTGCCTCAGTTTCTTCATCTGTAAAATGGGGATAATAATAGCACCTACCTCCCAGGGCTGTTATGAGGATCAAATGAGATCAATTTATAAAGTACACAGCACCTGGTACATAGTTAAGTGTTATATAAATATTAGCTATTGTTATACTTTCTAATGGCCACTTTTGTACTGGTTACTGTGTATTTAAGTATGTATGATTTAATATGAAATTTCTCAGTTCTGTAGAGACAGATACTGGTCTAGAAGCTGCACTTATCGTTTTGTTACATGGATGTGTGTGTGTACGTATGCATATAAAATTACTTGGTCTTGCATTTGCTGTGTTATATGAGATGAAGTATATAAGCTCTTCTTCCAGCAACATTGATTAGGCACTGATCATTTCAATTTCATCGAACTTTTAGACAATTTCTCACGACTATTACTAAACATAAAATGTTTCATTTTCTTCAGGCTTATGTTATAGTCTTATTTTTAAATAACTAGTTATGTAAACCTTAATGAAATGTTTCATCAAGTTTATAATCTTAATCTTATTTGTGAACATAACTGTAACAAAATATTTCATCAAGTTTCTAATATATCTTATTTTTAATTAATTTTTAATTCCTTGCAAACATAACTGTAACTTTAAAAAATACAACTTACAATTATTGGTATTTGAATACAAGAATTTTGTTATGTAAAAGTGTTATAACAAATCCTTTATTTTTTCCATATCACCTTTGACATTTCCCCCATTCATTCTTATATATTTACACTTTGGAATTTGTGTAATTGTGTTCATGGTCAGTTATCTTTCTGACTTTGCATTCTTTGCTTCATATGTTTCAGGTCTTTTCAAGTTTCTTTCTAGTCCTAATTTTTTTTTTTAATTTTAACTGGGAATTCCATAGTGGGGCCATCTTGCCACTGGACCCAGATGGCTCCAGAGGAGAAAGTGAGGCGGGTGACCTTGCACAGTCCTCCCTCACTTAAATCCAATCCACTGCAAGTCACGACGTCACCTTCCTGATGTCATGGTCCTCTTCAGTAACAAAGGAACAAGAGCACCAACAACTACCTTCCATCTACTCTCTCTCCATATGTGTGTGTGTGTGTGTGTGTGTGTGTGTGTATCTAAGTATGTATATGTATGTATGTGTGTACATATATAGACATACACATGTATCTTACACGAACGTAATTATTTGTTGTCTCCCACATTAATATGTTTGCTTCTTTGTTGTTTTTGTTGTTGCTCAGTCCTTTCAGTTGTGTCTGACTCTTTGCGACCCCATTTGGGGTTTTCTTGGCAAAGATACTGCAGTGGTTTGCCATTTCCTTCTCTAGCTCAGTTGACTGAGCAGGAAAGTGACTTGCTCAGGGTCACACAGCTAGTAAGTGTCTGAGGCTGGATTTGAACTCAGGTCTTCCTGACTCCAGGCCCAGCGTTCTATCCACTGTGTCACCTAGTTGACTTTTGGTTTTGCGTTTCTTTATATCCCCAGTGATTCGAGGAGGCCATCTCTAGTCATCTTGATCTATATCTTGCCACTGGACCCAGATGGCACCAGAGGAGAAAGTGAGGCTGCTGACTTTGCACAGCCCTCCCTCACTTAAAACCAATTCAAGTGCAAATCATGGCATCACTTTCCTGATGTCATGGTCCTCTTCCAGAATGAAGGACAAACAACAACCCATATTCCATAACATAACATAAGCAAATCAAAATTCCGTAACATTGCTACTGATTATCCTGTCATTCTCCAAGAGCTGGGCATTTCAAGTGCCCTTTTTTTTTTCCTCCAGTAACAGCTCATTGAATACACAGTTTTTTCTCACCTGTAATATATCTGGGTATATTTTTAATGATGGGACTAGTGGAATAAGAGTATGATTGCTTTTGTACGTCTTGCAGATTGATCTTTTTAAAAGATTCTACCACTTCAAAATTCATCCTGCAGTTTGTATATTTGTTCTTCCATATCCCTGCCACCATTGAGTTTTTATCATTTTAAGCTATTCTTGCCATTTTTTATTGGTGTTAAATAGTACCTGAAAGTTTCTCTTTGAGCATTTTTGGTGAGGTGATGATTTATAGTGTTTCCTCTTTTGTGAATTTCATTGACATCCACTGACCACCTATCTATTAGGAGTTGGGTTTTGCCCTTTAATATTTTTATACTTTTAAATTTTAGTCCTCCAGAAGAGATACCTCTCCTTACTTTGCAGAACTAGATGGGGTATGAAACATAGTGTATATTGTCTGATTTTATGATGCATTAATCAGTTTTTCTGGGGGAGGTTTCTTGTCCTCTTTTTCTTTTTGTTTTTTTTTTAATTCTTTGTTATAATAGATGGCTCTCTGGGACAGAAAGGTAGAAAGGTATGGGAAAAATTTGTGTGATGTAAAAGCAAAAGATATCAATAAAATTAATTTTTAAAAGTATATGTGCAAATCCAAGAGCTAGTATAACATACAATGGAGAAAAACTGGAGGCTTTCCTTGTACAGACAGGATTAAAGCAAGAATGTTTGTTCTTCCTACTAGTATTGATAAGGATTTAGGAAAGCTAGATTTAGCCATTAGACAAGAAAGAAATGAAAGGTTTACAAATTGGCAGAGGAGATAAAATGATCCATATTTGCAAGTGACATAATGCTTTACTTAGAAAAATCCAAAGAATCAATGAACAGAGATGACTTATAGCTTCAGTAAAATAATAGGATACAAAAGGTATCCACAAGAATCCTTAACGTTTCTATACTGTACAAGAGAATCAAGAGGAAATGATGATAGTAGAAATTCCATTCAGATTAACTATGAAATGCACAAACTACTGGAGATTAACCTTCAAAGACACATGGAGAAATTATTTAAATACTAATACAAAACAGCCTTTACTGAACTAGAGGAAGACTAATAAGAAATGTTTGGTGCTCATGTTTGCACCACGCAAACATAAAAGTGATACTGCATAAATTAATTTTTAGATTTAATGCTATACTAATAAAGCTACTAAGGTGATTCTAAATAGAACTAGACAAAATCACTTAAAAGTATTTGGAGAAGCAAAATATTAAAAAGGGGACATAAAAGAAGGAATGAAGGCATCATAACATGACCAGACTTAAAGCTGTCTGTCACCTATAAGGGAAGACATAATAAAACAATCTGGTACCCACTATAAGAAGGAAAAGTAAATCAGTGGAATAGACTAGATTTTAAAAAAAGAATAAGTAGCAAATGAAAAAGTCCAGTTTTGATAAGGCCAAAAACATAAATTAGTGGGGAATATGACCCCCCTTTTGACAAGAACTGTTGGGAAATCTGAAAGGCAATTTGATAGAATTAGGTTTAGATAGTATCTTACACTATATTTCACAGTAAGTTCCAAATGCATGATCAGCCTAATCAGAAAAAATCATGAAAGAACTAGAAGAAAATGGAATGAATTAACCGTGGAACTATGAAAGGAAGAATTTTTAAAAAATATTTTCCCCCAATTACATGTAAAGATCGTTTTTAACATTAATTTTTAAAAAATTTTGAGTTCCAAATTTTCTTCCTCCCTCACCTCCCCCCTCTCTGAGAAGGTAAGCAATTTGATACAGGTTAAAAATTTGATACAAGTAAAACAAAAAACCTCATAAATACAGAATGTGAAAAATAGTATGCTCCAATCTGTATTCAGACTTGATCATTTCTTTCTCTGGAGGTGGATAGCATTTTTCATCATGAGAAAGGACAAAATATCAGTTACATAAAATTTTTGTAGAAATGAAATGAATGCAGACAAAGTAAAAAGAGAAGCTAGTAGGAAAACTATTTCTAATTAATATCACTGATAATAGTCTGATATCCAAGATTTATAGGCCATTTAAGTAGCTAGGAAGTGCAGTGAATAGAGCATTGAACCTGGCATTAAGAAGATCTAAGTTTGACTCTTGCTTCTGACATTTACTAGCTATGTGACCCTGGGCAAGTCAGCTAACCTTTCCAAGCTTCAGTTTCCTCATATATAAAAAGGAATAAAAATAGCACCTATATCAGATTTGTTGTGGGGACTAAATAATAATGTTATTATCAAATACCATTTTATAGTGCTTTAAGATTTGCAAAGTGTTTTATGTATGTTGTTTCATTTGGCTAAATGAGGTAATATATTAAATATTATATAAATGCTAGCTCATAGCTATTTTTAGTGAATTAACAAAAATACATAAAATCAAGAGCCATTTCTCAGTTGACAAGTGTTCAAGAATACAGTCGAAAATTTTTCAAAGGAAAAATTGCAAACTACTAATTACCATTGAAATTATATTCCAAATCACTAAAAAAAGGAAATATGTAAATTAAAAGAATTGAGATTTCTCTTCAAACTCCTCAAACTGGCAAAATAGTCATTCATTGAGGGGCTTCTAGAAGATAGTCACAACAGTATTCTCTTGGGGAAGCTGTAAATTGGTATCACTGTTTCAGAAAAAAAAATGTTGAAATTGTTCGGGGAAAAAGTGACTAAACTGTTTATTCCCTTTATTACAGCAATCTTTCTGCTGAACATATACCAGTGGAGGTCAAAGACAGAAGAAAGGCTTCATATGTACAAAAAAACCCCATTGATAACAGCACTTTTAGTGATAGCAAAGAACTGGGAACAAAGTTGGTACCCATCAGTTGGGGACTGGCTGAACTCTGGTTTATTAACATAATGGAATGTTACTGTGCAATAAGAAATGACAAATGTATCCAGAGAATCATAGAAAGATCTGTATGAACTCCTGCAGAAGGAAAAGTGCCAAGAGAACAACATACAGATTGATCACAACAATATTACCAAGAGAACAGATTGAACCCAACAACGTAAATAGAACACTAAGAGACAACTAAATTCTAAGTAGTTATTAAAACAAATCTTGGTCTCAGAAAAGACAATGAAGCATCAGAGAGGGAGCTGACTGTGGATTTAGAAGTTTGTAGACGTTTCTAGACGCTGTAACTGTGTTGTCATATGTTTCTTAACTTCCTATGTTTATTTCAAGAAGAAAGTTTAATTCTCAGGTTGAAGGAAGCAGAGCAGAGAAATATCCAGAAATGACTGTTATGTAAAAACAAAAAGGATAAATAAAATTTTTAAAAATTCTTAGATGTTCTACTTTTACCTGTATATTTGCCATGTTTTCCTCAATTGATTTTTATTTCTATTTTATTGTTTTTCTGTGTAGTTTTTTCATTTTTAAGCAAACTAGTACATCTACCTATAATTACTTCTATTTGTTTAATAACTAAATGTGTATCTCCTCTGTATATTTTAGAGAAATATATTATTCTGTCATTCTCTGTGTACAACTATGGCTTTTTCTGTCTATATTTCATCCTGAATTTAATATGGTATATATTGTGAGGTTTGGATCTAAATTTTAAATAAAAAATACTTTATCCCTTTTTTTATTTTTCTTAGGTGTTTTACTAACTCATCTTTTATATATATATTTAGTTTCATGTCATGTTTCTCTTTATTTGTTTTTTGTTTTGCACAGTACCAGTTACTTTTGCTTAAAATTTCTTTGTAATAATTTTGAAAGTCTAGAAGTGCACACACCTTTTAATATGCTTAATTTTTTTTGGTTAGTTAAATTTCTTGTTTAAGGATGTGGAGGGATTGTTTTATTCTTTGTATCCCAAGCACAATGCCTGGTGCTTGGTAAAAGCTTGTAAATTGAATTTGAGTGTATAGGAATGCAAATGATTTTTGTGGGTTTATCTAGTTTCTTCCTACCTTGCTAACATATATTTTTTTCAACTTTTGGTTGAGAAAGTTTGATTCTCTGGGTGTACTGTCATTATAAATACGTACATCATATATGTCATCTATGAAATTATCTAGTAATGTTAGAAAGATATTGTATGCAATTATAATTCTGACATTTATGAAGATGTTGATGCTAAAAAATGGGCAGTGAGTAAAGGGAAAGACATCAACATGAACCCTAACCAATTTCTGTAAATAGCATCAGTCAGTCATTGCTGCAAAGAAAAGGTAAAAATAGCTCGGAACCGCCTTAGCTAGCAGTCATTTAAGTTTACTTGTCAAACAGATTGGCAAAGCTGCCAGAAGCAGTAACATTTTTGACTAGAAGTTCTCAGGCTTCTTTTTTTCAGGACTCCTTTTCACACTTAAAAATTGTTGAAGGCTCAAAAGAGTTTTTTGTTTATGTGGGTTATATCCAGAGGTGTGCTGGAGGCTACTAAGGCTTGTACTGACTCAGCCAATTGTTAAATTTTCAGTGTAAGCATTTAAACCATGGAAATAAGCAAAGGGTTTACAAATCAGACCTTAATTTATTATTTTTTAAATTGTCTATGCTTAAAGTGATGGAGAAAATCTTAATGTAGATTACACTTAGAAGTGTCTCTTGATACATCCCTCCATATCTCCCCCCACCCAAGCTGGTTGTGAAACATAACCAACACACCATCTCTCCTATTTTAGAAATTGAAAAGGATACACTGAAATATTTATTTAAAATAATATTAAAATATGTAGAGCCTGTATCAGATTGCATACCATCTGAGGGAGTGAGGAAGGGAGGTAGGGGGAGAACATTTTAAACTCAAAAGCTTATGGAAATGAATGTAGAAAACTAACAATAATTTTAAAAAATATTAAACCTATTACATGTTAACATTAATATATCTTTATGAAAAATAACTAGTTTCCAAAACAAAACTTAGTGAGAAGAGTGGCATTTTTGTACATGTTTTTGCAAATCTCTAATGTCTGTCTTAATAGAAGATGCCAAATTCTCTCTATCTGCTTCTGTATTCAGTCCATTGTGGTGTGTTTTGATTGTAATATATGAAAAAAAATCTAACTTCGCACAGATGTGTAGGAAAGGAAAGGAATATGTTAATAGGCAGATAATATCTTAGTATTACTATGAAAATAGTAATTTCCAGGATCCCTTGAAAGGGTTGTGGGGCCCTCCAGGGATCCTCCGACCACACAGAGCTTCTGTTTTAGATTGTAAAACCAAAATTCCATAATTGACAGGTCCGAATGATGGAAGGGATATGAGTCTGAAGAAAGTTGTAAAACCCAACAAAGCCTGGTCATCCCCAAAGTATTAAACAAACTGAAAGGAGGCCAGTGAACCCCAAAACTGTCAGTTTTCCTATAGAAAAACTTCAGTTCTTGATGATAGTGGAACCACCACACATGAACAACAGCAAATCAATTCCTGCTATACTGTAGGAAGAAATGAAGATGGCATTGATGATGAAGGCAAGGAGATAGTCAAACCAGTTGTGTACTCAAGGGTACTTCTATGGAAGTAGGAGTGATCCGGGCAAAAAAGAAATTGTGAGTAGCTTGTCCTTAATTTATACTAATGTAAGAGTGAGCTCTAAAAAGAAAAGGTCAGTGTAACAGACTTGGGCCTAGAAAACAAGAAACATATGGTGATTTAAAATAGACACAATGAAAAAGAAAATTTTATTAGTCCTCTGAGTATCAATGTCAAGCTGCAAGTAAAGAGAGCCACATGTTTGCCAACATTATTCATCGTGTTCCTGAGAGATGAGGGTCCAAATGGAAGGAGAATTCTGTACGAATGGTAAGGTCCTCCATTTGTGTACAGCTGATACCAGGTCGAATGCATCAGGGCCCATAATACCATATATTATTTTTGATGAACTACACAGCCATTCAGAAGAGATGGCCCAGTGAACCACATATGGAAAATCAAATGGAGGACGACTACCTATTATTGGGTTTTCATAGGAAAAAAAAAAGAGGAAAAGTGAGCACAACTGATTAGTACATTGAATAAGTCTGTAAATATAAGCAATATGTAATACCTATGCACCTCTTCTCTCCATGAAGGAGGTGGACTGAGAACATCCTTTCATATCTCTTTGCTCAAGTCTTGCTTGATCTTTGTAAGTTTTCAGCATTCAATTTTGGTTTGTGTATGTGGTTATTCTTTCCATTTATATTCCTGGAGTCAAGTATATTGTTTCTTTGGCTCTGCTTATTTCACTCTTCCTCAGTTCATATAAACCTTTCCGTTCTTCTTCTCATTATTTGTCACATACATCATTCTTCATAGCAAACTGATACTCCGTTACATCCATGTGCCACAGTTTGTTTAGCCATTCCCCAATTGATAGGCATCTGCTTTGTTTCCAGTTCTTTGCTATGACAGAAAGTGCCGTTATAAACTTTTTGGAAGCCACTTCTCAGTGGCTTCCTTGGAGGGTGAGCCCAGTGATGGAGTCTGTGGTTCAGAGGGTGTGGACGTCTTAGTTGCTTTATTTGCGCGATTCCAAATTGCTTTCCAAGATGGTTGTACCATTTCACAGCTCCACCGACGATGGATTTCCTGTCCCAATCATCCTTCAAGCCCTTCAGCACCGAGCCTTGCTGCGCTTTCTCCCCTTTGCCAATGTTCAGGATATGAAGTGAAACCTCAGGGTTGTTTTGATCGGCATTTCTCTTGTTATTCGTGTTTTGGAGCATTTTCTAAAATGTGGTTGGGAATACTTGGTAATTCTTTTGAAAGCTGCTTGTTTATATCCTTTGACCACTTATCTATTAAGAAATGTCTGTCATTGGGTTTTCAGTCCATCTGTACAAATACCTAAGACGAGTACTTTATTTTATTTTATTTTATTTTTGCAAGGCAACAGTCGGGGTTAAGTGACTTGCCCAGGATCACACAGCTAGTGAGTATCATGTGGCTGAAGCCAGATTTCAACTCAGGTCCTCCTGACTCCGGGGCCGGTTCTCTATCTACTGTGTGACCCAGCTGCCCCTGACGGGCATTTTAAATGGACAGTGAGCTGAGCCTAGAACTGAATAGGAATAAAAGAGTAACTGATTACATATTGAAAATTGCATGCCACTTTTAATGAGTCCATCTTTCAACTTGGTACTTTTGCACAAGCCTGTCTCCCATGCCTGGAATGTACAGTCTCATCACCTATACTTCTTGGAATCCTTAGTGTCCTGTGGAGCCCTGATTAAGTGCTACTTCCTACATAAGTCATAGCTAGGTCACGTGGCAGATAGAGTGCTGACTTGGAGTTAGGGAGACCTAAGCTCAAATCAAGCCTCAGATACTCAATGACAGTATGACCCCAAGCAAGTTACTTAACTCTGTGTGCTTATCCACAAAATGAGGATAATAGCACCTACCTCCCAGGGTTGTTATAAGGATCAAATGAGAAAATACTTGTACAGCACTTTGGCAAATCTTTTTTTTAATTAATTTTTAGTTTTCAACATTTACTTCCATGAGCTTTTGAGTTTTAAATTTTCTCCTTCTCCCTTCCCAAGACAGCACGCAATCTGATATAGGCTGTACATATACATTCCTATTAAACATATTTTCAAATTAGTCATGTTCTAAAGAAGAATTAGAACCGATAGAAGCAACCACAAGAAAGAAGAAACAAAACAAAACAGAAGAAAAAAAGAGCAAATAGCGTGCCATAATCTGCATTCAGACTCCATAGTTCTTTCTCTGGATGTGGATAGCATTTTCCATCATGAGACCTTTGGAGATGTCTTAGATCCTTGCATTGCTGAGAAGAGCTAAATCTGTCAAAGTTAGTCATCGTGCAACGTGGCTGTTACCAGGTACAATGTTCTCCTGGTCTGCTCACCTTACTCAGCATCAGACCATACAAGTCTTTCCAGGTTTTTCTGAAGTCCACTTGCTCATCATTTCTTATAGCACAATAGTGTTCCATTACATTCACATACCACAACTTGTTTAGCCATTCCCCAATAGATAGGCATCTCCTCAATTTCCAATTCTTTGCCACCACAGAAAGAGCTGCTATAAATATTTTTGTACATATGGGTCCTTTTCCCATTTTTATGATCTCTTTGGGATACAGCCCTAGAAGTGGTATTTCTGGGTCAAAGGATATGCATATTTTTATCGCCCTTTGGGCATAGTTCCATTTGCTCTCCAAAATGGTTGGATCAATTCACAACTCCACCAACAAGGCATTAGTGTTCCAGTTTTGCCACATCTCCAACATTTATCTTGTTTTGTCATGTTGGCCAATCTGATAAGTGTGATGTGGTACCTCAGAGTCGTTTTGATTTCCATTTCTCTAATTAAAAATTATTTAGAGCATTTTTTCATATGACTATAAATAGCTTTAATTTCTTCATCTGAAAACTGCACTTTGCAAATCTCAAAGCACTCTAGAAATGGTAGTGATAATGATGACATCCTTGATCCCTCCAGCTGCTAATGCTTCCCTCCAAAGTTATATTGTATAACATAGGTATACATACTGTCTCCACTGATAGAATGTAAATTATAAAGGGTAATATATAAACCTAGAAGTGTAGGTTGATCAAGTTGTGATGGATTTTAAACATCAAACAGAGGAGCTTAAGTTTGATTCCAGAATTAATAAGATGCCATGGGAGTTTGAGTAGGGGAGTGAAACATAGTCAGATCTGTGCTTTAGGAAAATTACTTTAGTGGTTATGTAGAGCAGATGTGTCAAACTTATAGCCCACTGTTGCAAGCAGACATTAATTTGCAGTTTTCTAAGTTATATTCACCCATAGGGATCTATTACTATATGAGTTTGACACCACTGTTGATGAGGATGGAGTAGAAGAGGAAAAGACTTGAGGCAGGGGATGTGTAAGACTGACCTTGAGTAATATGGTAAAATTATCTACAATATAGAAAGTCTGTCATAAAAGAGGGGAAATGTAAGTAGAGCCTCAAGAACCCTTAACATGGAGTGCTCTAAACCCTGGAGAATCATTCTGTCTTTGTGGAGCCAACTTCATGTCTCATTTCCTGACCATCTTGTGAGCAACCTTGTGCCTAAACCAGAAACCATGCCCTGGGATTCAGCCCTTTCGCCTCATTGCTTATGCTAAACCCCAGGACCCAGACGTCTTGGTCAGTGGTTGCTTCAATGTCCCACTACATCTTAGTTCAACTGCTGCCTACTTTCACTCTGGCCATCTTCTCATTAGTAGCCTTGTCTACCCATATGGGCCCACCACTCTATCCTCTCCTGCTTTCCAGTTCTTGAACCATATTCAAATCCATTGTCATTGTTCTTGGAAAGGATATATCAATATACTCCCCTATTGTTCCAATCACTGTTCCTGTAACTCTCCAAACAAAATAATCCTCCATGACAACCATTCCCCTGCACATGTTGTCTTCCTCTTTTAGAATGTGAGCTTCTTAAGGGGAGAGACTGTCTTTGCTTTGTTTTTCCTCCAGCACTTCACATAGTTCCTGGCATATAGTAAGCCTTAATAAATGCTTCTTCATTCATTTTTGTTCCATGTAAGGGACACTCCATGTGAAAAAGTAATGTTTTTTGATATTGCAGAAATTACTAACATTCCAAGATGTGGCTGTCAATTTCACCTGGGAGGAATGGGGGCTGTTGGAATCAGCTCAGAAGGACTTGTTCAGGGATGTGATGCTGGAGAACTATAAGAAGTTTGTCTCCCTTGGTAAGGATGGCTTCTTTCCCATGAATCATCTGGCCATTGGGATTTCTTGGCATTCTTTCTTCCTATAGGTTATGGAATGTCTAAAGAAGCGCTTCACTGAGGTTGAACTTTTTGTATGAAGCTATTCTTGGGATTATATATAATATGGAAACATTCCTAAATCTTTTGGTGTAAAGAAGCACAGTGTTTCTGCTTTCTCAGAATCTAGATGAAAAGTCTTTGCTTTGTATAACTGGTATTCAGAAGCATTATTATGATTCTCCTGAGGAGAATAGTTTTCCTATTGTATGCTTCTCCACTAAAGTCCCAGTGTAGCTACTGGCAGACATGAAAATTTCCATCTTCTCAGGGGACTGTGTTTAAATGGAGTAATTTTCTCTCAGCCTAGTTCAGATCCTGTTTCCAGTTCTGCTACTTGATGGTAACACAAACTCAATACAGAGCATCCTTCAGAAGTCCTTTCTAGTGTTCCTTAAAGAAAAAGTGAGCTCCTTGAGGGCAGGGACTATCTTTTGCCTCTTTTTGTATCCCCAGGATTTAGTATAGTGCCTGGCACATAGTAGGCACCTAATAAATGTTTACTGACTGAATAGCTAAGATTGAATTCTGAGATGTCTTTCCATTCTCAGCAATTTCCTATTCTTTCCCCATGTGCAGGGTTTCCAGTTTTCAAGCCAGACGTCATCTCCCAGGTGGAAAAAAGAGAAGTACCAGGGTTGCCAGCTGAAGAAGCTCCCAGAAGCCTTTACCTCGGTGAGTAACAGAAGCTAGGCAGACAGGTAGGACTGCAAGCAGCAACTCGGCTGATCAGTAAGGGTGCATTACCCTGAAATGGAATTAGAATGGCAGTTCTTAAAGGCCACAAGCCATGGGAAGACGTTTCTGATTGCTGTCCCTCAGAGGTTAGTTCTTCACCTTTCCTGTGAAAGGTCACTGTCTTAAACCTCCTGACCTTACATTTCCCTCTAGCCTTAGAGGAAGAGGTGTATGGTTTTTTCTGATTTTAATTCTTCTGCCTTTCCTATGATTATTATTTTCTTAGTCTTCTTGCATTACAGTACATTACTGTAGTTTACAGATCTATAGCACTTGATTTACAAAGTGCTTTTCTAACCTATCAGGTGATTCATAAAAATATTATCATTATTCCCATCTTAGAGACGAGGAACCTGAATGAGGTAACTGAAATCCCTTATCCTTATTATATCATTCCTCTGTACAAGGTCTGTGATATCTTTCCTGAAACTATCATCTATTTCTTTTTTCTGTCCAGGTGTTCTATAGTATCTTCCCAGAACAGTATCACTTTTGTTTCTCCTGCTGATCTTTACCCAAAAGCTTTAATACATTTGAATCCAAATCATGGTTTCTTGGAATATAAAGAGCTCTTTCTTCATAAGTTACAACTCCTCATGATGTTGAAATGACCTTATCTATGTTATTAATTTCCAAATGCTTAGGACTCCTTCTTCCCTTTCTCCTTTATGCTGATATTTTCCCTTCGATGTCTCTTGACATTGGACAGAATTTGACTCTTCCTTTTTTGCTCCTTTTTCTTTTTTGTTTTTACCTTAAAAGACCTTCCTCCTTTTTCAAAAGGAATATTTCATTCCCTCTGTTAACATGTCAAATGGAAAGGTCTTTCTTGAGTCTTTTTTACCTCTTTTCTAGTAGGAAGGTATTCCTTCACTTTGAGCATAAATGGCAGTTAACTGACTATGGCAGAAAGATAAACATATATCTGCAGATCACTGCAAAATTTGTATTGCTTTCCTTCTTTACTGGAGTAAGAGCCTAAGTTTGATCTTCCCTGTCAATCTTATTGAGATTCTCCTGGCTAACTTCTGTATCAAAATACTGTGGCAGATTACCTGTTGGCTATTTCTCTACTCATTGCATTTGTCTATGCTAGTCTTCTTGCCTTGGTGAATGAAACTTTATTTATATCATATGTTTATATTTAATATATCATATATTATATATTCATATTTTGACTTGCCACATGAAATGAAGCTAAATAATCTTTTACCTTTGAAAGCCAATTAACAGCTTCCTGCCATTTACCACTGCCTAGTGTTCTTATCTGTTAGCATCTCCTTTAAACTGTATGCAGAACTGGACAGAAAGTCTACTAAATGTGGTCTGACTACGACAGAGTGTAATAAGATTATTATTTTCTCTGATGTAGACATTATACATTTTTTAACACACCTTAAAATTTAATTAACTTTTTTAGTGGCTACAGGATACCACTAGCTAATATTGAAATTGTGGTCTGCTTCAATCCCCTAGATTTTTTTTATGTGATCTGCTGCTAAATCAGACCTTCTAAACTTTGAAAATTGATATTTTAATCCCAAGCACAGACCTTCACATGCATCCTTGTTAAATTTAATATTGTTTGTCTTGGTCCATTATTCTAACCTGTTGTGATATGTTAAAAACCCTTTATTTAGTCTTGTATTCTCTCAGGTATCTTTTATAAATTTGCGTTATCAAGACAGATGAGTATCTGCTATGATGTCATCTAGGGTATTATTAAAATTGTTGAATAGAAAGTAGAATTTTTCTCCACATATATATATATACATATATACATATATACATATGTGTGTATATATATATATATATATATACATATATACATATATACATATGTGTGTATATATATATATATATATATATATATATATACTTGTACACAACTAAAAAACAATCGAGATGGACAAAACTCTTTACTGAGTTATCTTTTTCAGTAAGGTTTTTAAATTTCATACCGATGCAGTGGGCTATGTTATAATCCAATTCACATTTCTTTATTGTATCCAGAAAGATATCTTGAAAAATTCTGTCAAATGCACTGCTGAAAGTTAGGTATCTGCTATTTACATGCCTTACCCACCTATTTTTTATAAGTCTTAATAAGGGAAATGAGCTTTGTTTTATATGATTTGCTCCTATTAAATCAATGCTAGATCTTAGGAGTTTACACATTCTCTTTTAAATGTTCACAACCATCTATCTGTAATAGGTAAACAAGTTTTGTTACATAAATTGACTTCAGGTTTAGCAGTCTATATTTTCCAGAATTACTTGTTTACCCATAATGATACTCCATCCTTTTCATTAGGTTGTCATTTACTTTAAGCTTTAGTTCTTGCTTATAAAAATCTGTTCTATCTATTCTAGAGTAATCATTCTTAATGAAGGAGATAAAATCTAGAACTTAACATAAAGCAATTTCCTTTCCTCACAGAAGGCATTGAATATTGACACCTTTTTTTTTTCTCCCCAGATTTTCTTCATGAATGTAATACAGTTGGACAAAAGTGCAGTCAGGAGTCAATTCCTGATACCCAACAGAGAGTTCCTGAAGTGAATGTAAAACAATATTTGGATGTAACTGACCATGGTAGAATCTCAGTCAGTGAAAAACTTTATGAATGTAATAAATGCAACAAGCTCTTCATTTACTGTTCAAACCATATTTCTCAACATGGAACAGATACTCAAAGAAAACACCCTAAACATGAGATATATGGAAAAACCTTTAGCAGTAAACAAAATCATCATTCAGATGATTCTGAAGAAAATCTATTTAAATGTAATGATTTTGGACAGACCTTCAACAAAATTCAAAGCCTATCTCAACATCAAAAGATTCATAGTAGAGAGAAGTTGTTTGAATGTAAAGAATATAAGAAAGCTTTCAGCAGAAAGGGGAACCTCTATAAACATCAGATTATTCAAAGTGGAGAGAAGCCCTATATATGTAATGAATGTGGCAAAGCCTTTGGCCAAAAGGGGACTCTTTGTAAACATAAGAAGATTCACAGTAGTGGGAAGCCGTATGTGTGTAATGAATGTGGCAAAACCTTCAAGTACAGGCGACATCTCAAAATAGATAAGATCATTCATTCTGGAAAAAAGCCCTGTGAATGTAATGTATGTGGGAAAGTCTTTAGTAAAAAACCTTACTTAGAAAAACATCAAAAAATTCATTCTGGAGAGAAACCTTGCAAATGTTCTGACTGTGGGAAAGCTTTCAGCAGTAATAACTACCTAATTGAACATCAAAGAATTCACACTGGAGAGAAGCCCTTTGAATGTAAGGAATGTGGGAAAGCCTTCAGCCGAAAGGGGCGACTCTATGAACATAACAGAATTCACAGTGGGGAGAATTCCTATGAATGTAATGAATGTGGAAAAACCTTCATCAGTAATCGAAATCTATCACGACATCAAATTATACATTCTGGAGAGAAGACCTATAAATGTAATGAATGTGGGAAAGCTTTCATCAGTAAGAGCTACCTAATTCAACATCAGAGAATTCATGCTGATGAGAAGCCTAAAAAATGTAATGAATGTGGGAAAGCCTTTATTAGTAATCAAGACCTATCACGACATCTAATAATCCATACTAGAGAGAAGCCCTATAAATGTAATGAATGTGGGAAAGCTTTCAGGAGTAATAGCTACCTTATTCAACATCAAAAGATCCATAATTTACAGGGGCCCAATAAATGTTATGAATGTGGGAAATCCTTCAGCAGTAATAGCTATCTACTTCAACATAAAAAAATCCATACTGGAGAGAAGCCCTACAAATGCAATGAATGTGGGAAAGCCTTCATTAGTAATAGCTATATAATTGAACATCAAAGAATCCATACTGGAGAGAAGCCCTATAAATGTAGTGAATGTGGGAAAGCTTTCATCACTAATCGAAAGCTATTACAACATCACAGAATCCATACTAAAGAGAAGCCCTTTATATGTCAAGAATGTGGAAAAGGCCTTAGCACAAAATTGTGCCTAATTCAGCATCAAAGAATCCATACTGGAGAGAAGCCCTATAAATGTAATGAATGTAGGAAAACCTTCATCAGTAATCGAAATCTATTATGACATCAAAGAATCCATACTGGAGAAAAACTCTTTGAATTTGAGGCACCCTTCTACACCAATTCTTTCCTTGATGCACAAAATGAAACTAATGAATGTAGTTCAAAGTTCATGAGAGATTTCATATTGGAAATAAACTGTTGAGATGTAGTAATGGAGGGAGAGGTCCAGAAAATTTCACAGAATCATGGAATTTCAGAGTTAGAAGACTCGGAGATCTTCTAGACCCACCTTTATCTGACCGAAAAAACAGTCCTTTCTGCAAAATAGAACAAGTTGTCAAGCAACTTTTGTTGTAAGACTTCTAATGAGCACACTTCCTCTTAAACATTTGGCTTCTCTTTTGGGTAATTTTAATTATTAAGAAGTTTTTTCTTACTTCAAGCCTAAATTAGCCTTTTTGCAACTTATACCCATTCTCTTAGTTATAGTCCGTCCAAACAGAAATGCCTAATCCCTCCTTATTTTCATAGCCCTTCAAATATTTGGTCACCTCACATACCCAATACAGCTTTTTTTTTCTTCAGGTGAAATGTCCTCAGTTCTATTAACTCATCCTCATGTGTGACATGAATAGAAGCCCTTTAGCTTTCTGTTCACCCTCCTTTCCACATTCTTCAGTTTAGCAATGTTCATTCTCCAACTGACAGTATTCTAATTGTGTTCTGGGTAATAGTAGACCTATACTATCATCTCCATCACACTGGGTAGTATGTCTCTTCTAATATAGCTTAAGATTGAAGTAACCTTTTTACTGACCTTTTACACTATTTGACTCCTTTTAAGCCTATCAACCATCAAAATCTCCAGATATTTTTCAGAGGTACTTGGTGTGCTAAACAGCAGTGGAATCAGCATAGATCCCTAGGACTTTTTTTTTCCTTCTAAGTTCATATTGAGCCATTGACATGAACTGAAATTATGATTTATTCAACACTACAGAATCAAAGTATTAGATTTTCACCAGCTACAAGTGGTTGTTTTGAGAGGGAAATGTGACTAAAGTTCTCATGTCTCTCTTTTTGATCATATAAAGTTGCTGTTTAGTGATATTATTCCAGGTTCTGGAGAGATTATGTAAAACATGGTCCCTGACAATGTATCTTGAAGGGTATGACACATTTTGAAATAACTATAATATAAACTAGCATAGCTTATATGTAGTCTAATATGGGAATTCATATAACTGCTTCCCGAACCTCTAACCTTCCAGGTAGAATAGAAGTTCCTAATGTTTTCTGTGTCATGAATCCCATTGGCATTCTGGTGAAGATTATGGACTCCTTCTCAAAATGATCTTAAACTCATAAAATAAAGTATATAGGATTTCGTAGGAAACCAATTACATTGAAATAGTTATTTTAAAAAATTTTAATTCATAGACCCCAGATTAAGAACCTTTTGTGTAGAAATGGTAGGTTGTTTTGTTGTCTTTTCTTTTAATTCCCTAGAGAGCATAATTCTATAATCTAGCCTTCTAGCAGTGAAGGGAGATTTCTGGGGCGACACCAAATTTGAGTGTTGCCCTATGGGCAACTCCAATTTTAAGTGTTCTTGAGTTTTGGTTACAAGCACTGTGTCTTCTACAGAAAGATTTATTGATGCTTCCTGCCCTTGGGAAAGGGAATAAAAATAATCAAAGTGCTTCCTTTGTTGCACTGTAATTAAGATATATAACCACTGATGATTTCAACTGAACCAGCAGCTAGAGGAGCCAATTAGTTTCCAGAAATAACCAGTGAAGGTATTAGTGGCCCTGAAACATTCAAGGCATGATTTGCTTTTCCTCATGTATGCCTCGGCCCTACCTCTGTGCGTGTGCCCTGGCTACATATGTTCCTTATCTGTCTGTCTTTCTATTTCTGACCTCTTAAGTATGTCCACCCTCCCTGTTACTGGATATGTCTGTGGGAGGATACACCTTAGTTTTGGGGGTAAGATTATTTGTTGCTACCTTTCTTCTTATGGCTTTTTAGTGAACAAATTTGCTTTCAACTATTTATTTCCCTTTCACTTAATAGCGAGTCCCTCCTGTGCTATACACAGAGTACTTTGACCATCCCATCTGGCAAGTATGAATTGGATGATGGACCACTGTGGTGCTTTCCTTGCAGCTCTCTCTGTGATTCTATGATAAAGATATCTCAAATTCTGCCTTCTGTGGAAGGCTAGGGAAAAAGGATTTGGGGTCAAACAAGAAAGTAGAAATCAAGCAAGTGGTTTGGAGGATTATGAAGGAAGTTAGGGGTCAAATTTTAGGACAAGTTTGATGAAATTGAAAATTTAAAGAAAAATCACCAGGTGCAGATTCTAGCCCAAGTTCTACTTCTAAATTTAAAAAGGAACAGGGTCAAGGACAATTAAAGAGGCTATGAAAGGATTAAAGAAGTTAACAAGTAGAATCAAACGAGGAAAACATGAGGGGAAAAGTACTTGGCAAGATAGGTAAGGCAAGGTAAACTTTAAAAAGGTAAACTGAACAAATGGAAGGTACAAATATAGAGTACATTGGTGGGTGGGACAAATTGTTGAAACAGGTTGGTAGAAGGTAGAAGGTTGGTGTGGCCCCAGAATTCATAAGACTAAGGAAAGGAAGATGAATGAGGTTGTCAAGGTAAGAGGTGATAACCACCTGCTTTTAACCAGGTGCTTAGGATTGAAATTTAAACAAGCAATTTTGAAAAACCCAAAACAATAGCAGGTAACCTTAACCAGTATAGCGAGTAGGGGGAACAAATGAACTGGGAAGGAAGAGAGGCAACTCTTTTCAGGATATTCGAGTTGAAGAGAAAGAGAAGGGAATGGACAGCTATAAAATTAGAGCTTAAAAAACTATTTAAGACTTACTAAAGTGTAGGGAGCTTGATCATCTGAAGAGGCAGAAGCTGGTCCTCCTAGGAATGATATATGAGGTGGTTTTTTTTAAAGGCAATTGGGGTTCAGTGGCTTGCCCAGAGTCATACAGCTAGTAAATGTCTGAGGTGAGATTTGAACTCAGGTCCTTCTGACTCCAGGGCTGGTGCTCTAACCACTGCACCATCTAGCTGCCCCTCTAGGAATGATATATGGAGCCACAGGAGATAGCAGGCGAGAGATCATTTGGTAAAAATCAGAAGAGAAGAGTAGTAATTGACTTTGTGTTCAGGGGGTACTGACAGCTATTTGTTCACTTATTAACAATGTAGGACAGTTTTCTTTCCAGAGCATGTATCTAAGACATAAGGGAACCTCCCAAGACTTTTTGAAACAGATGACACCTACATGCTCCTGGTGATTCATGTAGGGATGAATGATAGTGCCAGAAGGAACATTAAAAATATTGCTAGTGATTATGACTTCTTACACAAAAAGCTGGAGACTAGGAGAAAAAAAGTCCCATAGTAAAACCCATTGAATTAAATATCTATGCAGTAATGCCCAGGATTTAAACAACAAACAAAAGTAACTGGGGGCAAGTTTGACCTGTGTATCACCAAGACTCAGTGGGATGAAATCCATGAGTAGACTATTCATGGTATACCTTATTCAAAATGCATGGATAAAAGTGATGGGGTGGCATAACATTATATATTAAGATATTCTTGTGAGGAAATCCAAGAATAAAAAGGACAAAGGATGACAGTGTTTGGGTGAAGATAAACGGAAGAAAAAACATGATTTAGATACTGGGGTAGTAATGATTTCATTAATCCAGACATCTGAGTAGCTCTGCCAAAAACAGAGTACCTAATAAATTTTGCCTTACTAGCTTGATCATTTAGTTATCTAAATGTGAAAGAACTGATAAAGGGGGGGGGGAAACGTAGTGGGTTGTTTTTCTTTTTTTAATCTGATTCTGACTAACAAGGAGGAACTAGTTGTTCAGGGTGGAAATGATGGGAACTCAAAGCAGAAACAACCACTTTATCTTAGATTTTGTGGTAGAGGAGAGGAAATCCAGGGAATCTGATATATACTCTTAAATTTTGGGAAAACTGATTTCAAATGGATGAGAAATGATAGGACACAATGGACTAAAATTCCACATGGGAAAGGCAGAGCCAAGATGGTAGAGTGAGAGAAAACATTAGACCCTAGCTTACCCCGCTGTCTTTTGACAAAGATCTAGGAAGTGTACCTGACTGAATTCTAATCAAGAATCGAGTTTGTCATTTTTTCCAGGGCAGGGTAGTTTAGGGAGATTAGGAGAGAGATCTGTAGTTACTGGGGAAAGATTCTGGCCAAGAGCACATGTACCAGTGGGAAGCATTCCAGCACCCAAGGACTGAGAGGAATGAAAAAGTGCACCAGGATAGGAGGCACCAGGGCAGAAAGTGATCCCAGAAGATCCCTGAGCAAGTACTGGGTACATAAATGCATGTCATCCAGTTTCAGGTTATAGATCCATGGGAGAAAGAAGCAGTATTGAGTCATGGGCTTTAGCTGTGTACTGAGCAAGGAACCAGGTCAAGGAAGCAAAAGGTAGCTGTGTAACTCTGACCCCAGGTGTAGAGTGCAGCATCTCAGACCATAGGGAGCTGGCAGTCCACTTGCTCTGAGTCTGTGGGGCCACTAAGTGGCTTAATAAAGCAACAGTCTACTAAAACTCAACCAAAACCAAGCCAATAGACCCAAACTTGGGTCAGGAACTTGTAGAACTCAGGCCAGCAAGGGAGTGAAGAGTGCTCCCCCCAGATTACCCCACACTTGTGGAACCCCCAGGCTGAGCTGTGAAAGCAATAAAAGGATATAAGGGCATAAGCTAAGGCCAGATATCCCCCCCCAAAAGTCAGTAGAGCCCAGTACTAACAAAGTCCAGAGTTAAGTAGGCCAGAAGAATGAGCAAACAAACAAAAAAATCTTACCATAAAGACCTATTGTGAAGGAAACCCAAGATGAAAAGAAGAAAATGACTAAAATGTATAAATATATATGTATACATACATACACATATACACATGTGTATATATGTATACATACATACATATATACACATGTGTATATATGTATATGTATATATTTGCAAGCAAAGCCTCAAAGGAAAAAATGTAGTTTGAACACTAGTCCAACAGAAACTCCTTGAAGAGTTAATGAAGGAGGCTAAAATTTTAACCAAATGAGAGCAGTAAAGAATAGAAAAAAAGGCAAGATCTAGAGAAGAAAGACAGGAAAAAATAATTAACAACTTGGAAAAAAAGAAGTACAAAAATCTTACAGAAGAAAATAACTCCTTGAAAATTAGAATTGGCCAAATAGAAGTTGTCAACCAGACTGGAACTGGCCTCTAATCCAGGAATGGCCAGAGCTGAACAGAGCAGGTCAGAGGCAGATGTATCAGGGATTAAACAAAAGTTTAATTTCAGAGTGAGGAAAATGCAAGTGGAAGCCACTCCTACCCCCGACCCTGAGAAGGAGGGCTTCTGGGGTAAAAAAGCAGGTCATATATACATAAAAAAATCACAAGTGGGCTGGACCATAACACAATCATTCTTAGCAGTTCCCACGGCAGGTTCATGGGCCAACAATGCAGACATTCCTGGGTCCTGTGGGAACAGTTTTTAAGTTGATTGTCTTAAGTCTTAAAGGTCTTTGAGCCTTGTGATTACTCAGTAGAGTATAGAACCAGAGTTAGTGTGGCAGGAACAGGAGTGCAGTACCTGGTTTGGTTCACTTGGCTGTTATAAGAAACAGGGACTGTGAGCATATCAAGAGATGTAATGGATGGCTTTAGGCTGAAGCACATTGGCTCTCAGGTCCCTGGGAAATAG